CAGCCACTGCGGATCAATGCTGCGGCGCATGCGCTGACAGCCGCTCAGCGTTCAGCGTTCAGCGTGTAAACCTAACCCAACCTGTACAGGAAATAGCTTTTACAGCGAAACCGATAGCGCTATCCCGGCGTCGCTAGCCGGTGTCGATTAAAACAATCGAGTTGTTTCAACTGTCAAATCTAAATAGGGTTGTCATGAAGTAAATGTAAAAGAAAACACCTTTGGATGATTTGTCGGTGTTTTATGATAAGGGGAAGTTATAATGTATCATTATTCCAATCAATATGGGATCCGGGGAGCGAGTTGGTCTAGTTAGTATAGCACGGGATTTGAAGCCTGATGTCCCAGGTTCAAATACCGACAATCACCGATGTATTTTATCCATGTGATGATGCCACGACCCCCTAGGACAAGATTAAAGTAACTATCCTATAAAAAAGTTGGATCATACCTTTTTGTAGAGCATTTTACGTAGATCATTGAAACCTTTTGGAACCATGTTTGCCGTAGGCCATAGTTTTCTAGTTACGAAACCCCTAAAGAGGACCTTTAGAGTTCCCTACCCTCCTTAGCTCCACCCCCACTGATCTGTACTTTAGTATGTTCTTTAAGGACCATTCTTCCCCTACAACTGTACCAAATTTGGCGTAGACGTGATTTTTTTCTCAAATTTGGTCTTCCCTACCTGGACTAAGTAGTGTAAATCGTCTGAGTAGTCTACATGTTGTGTGTTTTGTGTTGGTGAATTATTATCCCTTAAAATTAATGCTGTATTTTGCGATGTGTGTTTATTATTTGTGATTATTTACAAGACAGCAATGTTTCATCAATACTGTAGATAGCTTTATCCCGCTTTATCTGGTTGAAATTGGTTTTAGGTTATTTGTATAATTGCTATATATTGTACGTACCATATATTGTATTATTTTAATACATGATGTAGGCAATAATTAAATAAAAATAAATCACATAATAGAGTAAAACAGAAAATAATTTACCTAAAAAACACGCCTTGTTATAACTATAAAATTGATATACATTACATAAACAATTTAAACGTATATCAACCCTGAATTTGCAGAACTAAACTCGCCCTAGTCTCACTCAGTCACTGAAATATATTCAGTACAGTATCACCAAGTAAAGTTGATAACGCTGTTACATTGCAGGATTATTACTCGTTTTCCTGATTTCCGCTCATTTCCTTTACTTCCGTTAAACCGTCTCTATATCCCAGCAGTTTTGCTTACCTTGGTTTGAATGATCATAATTAATTCGTAATTGTTGTGTTACGGAACAACAATTTATGGTTTACTAATTGCTTCGCAAAGGAGAATAATCTGGACTTTAAATCTAGTAGGAAAAGGACTTCACTTACTGTTGAATGTTGATTGTAGAAAACCCCATCTGAGCGGTGTAGTTTTATAATGCAATTACTATCTTTAAGAATAAAAGTAATAAGTTAATCAAATTCCTTAACAAAATGTATGTAAATCGAGCAGATTTAAACAGTGAGGTTGTTAATTTTTTCCAATGAATACCAACCGATTATACTTAAAATGCTCCAGTTTGAATCTTACGCCCACGGTGCATATCCAGATGATTTTTCAAGAACATTAATAGGCCATATTGCTGACCGGATTTATATCCCCGTACAGTCAGTTCAGCAGTTTCCGAGTCCGCTCGAAATAAAAACAGACACAAATAGAAACCAATGTACATATATTATAACATTACTGTATAAAAATATAATATTATAACAGTGGATAATTTCCACTAAGATAAAACATATTCCGTGTTGGTTATGTTATTAGAGATCGACTTGCCTCCATTATCAGTCTTGACCTCTGTTAAATGTTATTACTTTTAATGTGTCCTATAAATGTGATATCTGAAATAAAATAATGTCTTCGGTGTTCAAATTTTTTTATACTTCAAGGTATTCAAGGTTTACATCATGGGTTGGCATCTAATTTTGGAATTTTCTTAACTAAAAATACGTTTTCTTGTAGACAACATTTTAAATCTCTGTTGGAAGTTAAAGGATTTTTGGTGGATTTTTAACTTATTTTCATATAACTTATATCATATAACGAACCTTATATTAAAATCATCATTATCATATAAGTTATTGTAATATTAAAATACACATATGAGTTGTTGACTATAAGAAGGAAAGTTAGATTTTAATGAGAGCGTGGTCATAAATTAGTTTATACGACGTTCAACGGTTTTAAGTATTTGGCCAGTCTGTATAAAATATCTGAGCTTTTCATCATTATTAGATTGTATTATCAATACTAAAATCCCAGGCAATATCGAATCAGTCGCAAAACATCAGATCGCACTCATTGCCCTATAACTTGTTTTATATCTTGTTATATCTTGTTTACCTTCATGCGTAGCTAATCATAATCTTCAGATCCAATGCTCAGTCTAGGCTACATGCTTCAAAGTCACTGCTATTGCAAAGTTACATTTCCAGTATTCCAGTCAATATTGCAGTAGTCGCAGTAACATCAGAGCGCTCATCACCCTATAACGACCTTGTTTCCCTTCATTTCCCTCGCTTCCGCTAAACCTCCTTCTCAATTTCAATGATTTCTTGTCGTTTTATCCCACCTTGGTGACGCAAAAGAATCCCGCAGTGGTTGAATATTTAAATTAAATACACCTTTTGAAACACTAGCGTTTTTAATACGTCCATATATAAGTAAAAGCTATGTAGTGCTAAGGAGATCGCTTTAACGTTTAATTTTTAACTTAATGATAACGTTTAGTGTTATGCCTACATTTTTGTGGATAACGAGTAGTACATCTACCTATTTAATTAACTCAACTGATGAGAACATGAGGGGTGGTAGTTTGTGAAGGGGGGGGGGGGTAGTTAACGAAGCGTAGATCCTCGCCACCCTCTCGATTTGAAGAGTCGAGTAGGTTTTTGAGCGCATGAAAGCAATGCACCCAATGACTCGTTTATCGTTTAATTCCACTCTTTCATTTTACACCTACAGAAAACGCAGCATTTAATTCACTTTTGCAATGTTTTAACTGCACTTTTAAAATTTCAATCGAATAAAAATTATCCTTGGTGCTTTCCAGAATTTTGGAATAAATACGTCTTCTAATGTTGAAGTTTTGGTTTTACACAACTAAGTTGAATCCTTTTACCCATAGACTAACCAACACAAGTAGACTTCTCAGCTCATCGTAAAATTTTAAGCTGCTTTTTGTGTCTAGTTTCTGTTGGTGACACTGGTTGACCGAAATGTAGTTATTATCATTTTAGGGTTAATAACTTCATGATATTGCTTTAATGCTCAGGTATAAATTTATATACAAATGCTTTTATCTAGAGTTAAAAAAAACGTTTTGTAACCACTAATTGATACAACAAACATACAATACACATATTTTCCAAAAGTAACACAGAACAAAGAAAATTTAAGTGACATTTTATTCAAAAGTATTCAGTCTTCGTTCGTAGAGCGTTATGCAGCAGTAGAGTACAGGCATTTTTTTGCGTAGCATATGTAATCTTTGGTACAGGGCATGTCGAACGTATAACAAGTCAAGCTGTGGAGGTGGTTTTGAATACAACTATGCTTTACTTAGGTAGTTTGCAGCGTTACACCACCATGCGTCCAGGCGTTACATGACAAACGAACAACGTCAAACCACATTGTGGATTATGATTTAGGCACCTCCCCCACCCCTTATTTGGCCTTTTTAAATGCATGTAAAATGCCGTCCTATTCTGAACAACGTAACAGAATAACATCACTTCCCATGCCAAGTGACAAGAATTAATTATTGATATATATACACATACTGTGTATATATAATCAATGCAAGGACTAGACTAGAACCACAGAACGTATAGGATGTCTTTAAAGGAGTGGATTTTCGCATACTCTATGGATATACCTCTTTGTTTTGTTTATGTAGACGACACGACAACCTTACATTCAAAAATAAATTTCAAACACAAACACGTCAAATTTCATTGATTTCAAACATAAACATAAACAATAAACATATCGCCTTCTGAATGAAAAACAAGAAAAGATTAATGTTGGCTTATTGAAAACGGTTTGTCACTTGTCTGAAGGATGTAAATAACCGTTAAATCATATCTTGTTTTTGACGTTTCTGGAGCTGAATACTTAGTAAGTAAGCTAACATGTCATGTAGGCCTAGGCAATAGTTAATCGTTAATATAGGTTGATCTAGGCCTTTTGACCACACAAATGATCTTTTATAGGACAAAATGTTATTGCATTCACATTTTATTTATGCACACAAATAAGAGAAATTGACTCCAAAACCTAAAAAAAGACCCTAACTTAGGCCTACTAATTCCTAGCATCTTTATTGTTTAACTTTATGTGATAAGGTAAGGTAGAAAAACCTTATAGGCCTATATTCATTCACCGATACACCATTGAAACAAAGGAACTATAAGTTATCTCTTGGGGTAATATAGCTGGAAACTTAAAATTTCTTGTTAACTTAAATCAAACAATATTTCCACATCTAAATTTTTAACTAATGAATAGGTAATTATAATTTTTAACAACTCACTTTTTATATTTTTTTTTTCATTTTTTGCACTGTCTGCATTTTAAGTTAGATGCTTTTTTATTTCTTCATGACTTTTTCCATATGTTAATAAGTTAAATATAGTTGTTTTAAGTTACTATTCTTCTACCACCAACTGTACAAATTGAGAGTAAAAGTATCATTTCTGACCCTAGATTGTTGGGTTGAGACAAGGCCACGTTGAGACGTCCAGAGGTTTTAATATTGGATGGAGTGCTGTTGTCTTTGTGGCACATCATGTCGGGTTTATATACTATATACCTTGGGGTAATATAGCTGGACACATTAAATTTCTTGTTAACTTTATCCTAGCCCAACATCCTTTGGGAACTGTATAATCTTTAGAATATAATTTTTTACATGAGCTAGCAACCTAAACTTTTCCTTCTGTTTCCCAGGACATTACCTTCTGACGGTGCAATGGCTGCCACGAGAGGTTCGTGTGTGGAGCCCCAAGTACGCTGGCACCAAGGACCTCTGTCGCCTGGAGCTAGCAGTGCACATGTCCAACATGGACGTCGGGTGGTTCAAAGTGGTTGTGGAAACCGTCAGTGTCAACAACACATCTTGGGTCGTGGCTGAGAAACCTGGTAACAGCAATAGAACGTGAGTACTGTTGAATGTGTAAGCCTAGTAGCCTAGAACAGCCGTTCCCAAACTTTTTTGTCTGTTGTACCTATATTCTTGTTTTTTTGTGACCCTTTTACTGAATTCTTCAATGCATTGTTTAGCTGTGCTTTGCGATTGAAGCAGTGATGAATCAGCCAACTGACAAACTACGTATCGATTGTAAAACATTCTTTGGGATTTTATCTTCCACAACTCTTGTTTGATCAATCTTCAGAATTGAGCAATTCACAGCATCCTGTCTAGTCCAACGATAAGTAATTTCCCCTACTATTCTTGTCTTGACTGATCAAATTAAAGTTTCTTTGTGATTTGTCAATGATAGAATTTTTAAAAAGTAAATTTTTCCCAAAGAAACATAATTTTGTCATAGTTATTGAGGTGTGTTTACTAAACGTCCACTTTAATGGAATTGTCTGAATTCATCAATTTACTCCAGTATCATATTCATTCCGTTATTTATTGCTCTAAAGGTCGGGGACATTTACAATTCAATCATTAACTAACTGTTAATCTTACAGTCTATTTCATGTTACAATAAACAAATAGACAAAACATCACTTTTGTTTCACCTCTGTCTCTGTCTAAATATTCACCGTCAGTTCTCCACAGACGACCCGCAACCTTAAAATAACCACTTTTTCGTCAAATTACCTCGCTAAATATACCGCAACAACCGTGAGGACGTACGCTGAGTGGACGTAGTAGTCTATTCCTAACCTCGGTCCATTGCCAACAGCCTCTTCAGACCTGGTGCCTAGCCAGTCATTGTTTGTTTTATTAACACTCTTTCGAGCCAACCATTTTATGCCGCACCTGGTTGTCACGCTGATGACAAACTATTAATTTTTGTTTTGTTTGAGCAACATCTTCAGTGTATATTTTTAACGACACTTTTTCACTAAAGCCATTTGTTAAAGTGGATTGTGTTTCGGTTTTCCCGGTTCGTTGTCCTTGTTTTAGTTTATTTCTGTCTTGATTTGTATTCTTTGAAATTGTGAACAAGTAAGACTAAAATTGCTCTAAAATTTCTGTGACATGATGATTTACACAATGACAGTTCAGATTGCTGTGATTTTGCTGTGAATTGCCTACCAATCAAAGAGTCGCTGGTTCGTTTAAGTTTCGATGGTTCGAAACTGGTCCCCAATCATTGGGCTTAGTCAGTGACTACCGGGTAACAGTCAGACTAATAGTCAGTTGGTCTAACAGATCATCTCACTCCATTCTACACTTGTCCTTCACTCATATTTGGGTTAAAATATACAACAAGGTGGCGTCCTCATCTCAATTGATAGTAATAGGCCTAATAATAAATAAAGCATTCATTAAGTTAGTCATTTTCTTGTTGTAGACATTGTTAGAAAATTATTAGTCATGTAAAACAAATATAGTTTCATAGCTCTATAAAATAAAGTAACCTTTATCTACTGTTGTATCCTAAATCCAAGAGGCTTTTTATTCATTAATATTTTCTCAATGAATCTGTTTCAATTTCAGATGGGACTACTGGTCATTCAATGTCGGCCGCATCAAACAAGAGTTCAACATAGTGATAGAAGTGATTCCTGGGGATCACTTTCCATTTCACGTTGCCTTGGACAACATAAGACTTGTAGATTGCTTCAGCGGTATGTATCTTCCACTTCTTGTGTAGACATTAAAGATTTGCTTCTTGTAATTCCGAAAATATCCATTCAACAAAATATATGACAAATACAATTTTTTTCTATTTAAAATTTTTTTCTCCTAAATATACTGCACATCTGCATTTAGGGGAAGTGCTCTCATCCGTTGAAATAGGCTAATTTTGAAACATATAAGTGGAAACACAAGCAAATCTTTGAATAACATTTAAATGATATGAAAAAGTAATGGTGTGAGTATAAGCATAGACAAATAGAATACATTTTAGACTGTCAAAGGAAGGTTCCGGCGCACACCGCTAGGAGTGCCGTGTAGTTACGGTGCACATCGCTGCAGGCGAGGAACGCAGGAGCCGTATGTGACCAGCAGACACTGCAGCGGTGTGCGCCGTAACAACACGGCAAAACTAGCGGTGGACTCCAGAACTTATGCTAACCGAAGCACAGCTGACTGTCTATATTTATTCTATTTGTCTATGGTATCAGCTGACTCAGTACCTAGTCAGTTATTTTAGGTAAATGAAACAATTTAATTATGAGATGAATACAAGTTTAAATGAGTAATCAATTCTGTATGCCTACTAACTATTCATAGTCTCTAAGTTGGTATTTCACTGAAATTAGTATTGTTAATTATATAACTTGCATGCATGAGAAAATAGCATGAAAAAATTGTATGTTTCAAAGGTACTGTCTAAAATTATGTGGCCATTCATTCTTTTATGAAAATTGTAAGCTAATCCACAAAATTATAAGAACTTATAAACTTATTGTAGGCTAATGGTCTAACAGATCATTTTGTTTGCGCTATTTTCACTGCTTCAGCCTTATTTTGGAAGAGGATGTAATAAGACAGACGAGGATTAGGGATGGGTAAGGGCGGGAGTGGTGATTAAGAGAGAAGTGCAGGTTAATTATTCTTCAAATTCCTTAGTGGACTTAGTTGTTCAAAGACCTAACATTGATTGGACTGATTGCTGCTTTACAAGATTGTCGAGCTAATTTTAGGTAGCAGTGATTTAGCTGAAGAGGATTGCTTTAAAAAATTATGGGTTTTAGACTCAACTATTTTTTACATTATGATTTTTTTACAAAGAAGAGAAGGTTAACTATAATTTATTCGATATCCTTGATATTTTTTTAAGATTTGAAACACTCGTAATCTCCTCATTTGGTTGGTTTAGGTATTGTTAGTCATGGTTACGTGGATTCCCCTATTATTTTAATCCATAAGCCACCAATCAAATGGTGTATTATTTTTCCCAAACTGAAATTAAAATTTCACAAGTTTAGGGAAGTTGTGGAATAAATTATATTGTAATCAAGATAAAAGTTTAGAGTTTTTTTACTAACATTCCTGACATGTTTTTGAGCTGTTCTTTAGTTCACTTTTGTCTTCATAATTACCGAGACTAAGAGAGGAATCTATTATTAAATCCTTGAAAGCAATGCTGATTAGGCCTTTTTGAAGATCTGAGAGTTTAAATTTTACAATCTAATATTTAACTGAAAATATAATCATCTTCTTACACACCATACTTGCTATTTAGCGTAAGGGTTTTCAACGATTTCTTGTTTCAATGCAATACATGGTATGTTTAGAAAGGAGAGATGAGTGCCTACCAAGCCAGTTCCTCTGCGGCAACACCACAATGTGTATAGACCATCACCAGGTGTGTGACATGTCGCTGGACTGTCCCGACGGCAGCGATGAACGACAGAACTGCGGTGAGTGTGGACTGAAATGATCAATTTGTAAACTCAAATTGGTAGACCAAGTTAGGAGTTTATTGAAATATTGGTTACGTGAACTTGAACTGAGGTGGAGGGGTGGTGCTTTAAGGATTTAATATGTAAAATACAGTAGTGTCCCGCAAACTCGGCGTAATGTGGACTGGAAGGTTGCCAAGTTTGTGAAATGCCGGGTTATCGGAAACTAAGGTTAAAAATAAGAACAATACAGTTTTTAAGCTTTTTAACCGCCTTTTTTATTTATATTAACATTACAAGTCAGTATTAAGTCATCAGATATAGTACAACAAATCCTTGGTATGAGTTGCAAATGATTTGACTTGAGCTGGCTTGAGTCCATGTTTAACTCGGACTAAAAAAATCACTAATTTTCTGAGCCAGGTGATGGCTAAGTTATCCAGACTGCCGGGTTATCGACTGCCGAGTTTGCGGGACTCTACTGTATCAAAAAAAGACGTAGGCTTGGCGAGGTTTGAATATAGCCACAAATATAGCCTGTCAATTGGGGCTCTACGTTAGCCCCCAGATTGCCCTAAAAAGTAAGTTTACAGTTATTATCTTCAAAATTTTCCCTGGAATGGATTGGACCTTTACAGTTGGCTGTAGTATGTGTTACCATGTCCAGTTGCTTCATTTATAGGTATACAGCATAATAAATCAAACACATACATGCACAGTGATATAAAAAACACAAACATTGAACTAACAATAAACAGGAAAAATACTGCTGATAGGTGGGACACGTCGTGATCAGATGTAAGTGACTCTGGAATCTAGTAGGCCTACTGGCTTGATGATGACTCTGATGTGATTAAACGTTGCCCTACAGCAACATCTTAGATTGCTTGAACACTAGTTATTTGCACCAATTTAGATGTGATCTAGAGGCTAAAATTAAATAAGTTAATCATAGAACTTCGCAATGCATACTTTTTTAACCATTTGTTTTCTACGTTCAAATAATTTACCGAATGGATGCATTTGTTTCAGATAAAGTCAACATTGAGGGCAGCAGGTGCAACTTTGAGCAGAACATGTGTGGATGGCATAATGAAGAGGAGAACTGGATGAACTGGACACTAAACTCTGGACCTACGGAGACTGACCATACTGGACCCAGTACGGACCACACCTACAAGAATGCTACTGGTATGTCACTTCTAGGTTCTCAGTATTCTGTAGGCTGTCCCCGGTTTAACTTGGGGAATGATAAGACCTAGTATGATGACTCAATGTACTGTAAAACTCCTTCTAACCACACCCTGTTTAACCAAAACCTGATTTCAGGTCAAAAATTCCCAGCAATTTGAAAATAGGCTAGGCAACAGAAATTCTGTGTCGTGGTGTGGGTAGTTGCCCAACGAAATGTAATTGAGCAGATTGTGAAATGGATCTCATATTGTGATAAAGATAAAATTCAGAAAACAATGATCAATTTGTTTAAGAAGTTGATTTTGTGTATAGGTCTACTATCCTAGCTTATATTTTACGATGACAGTAATCAAACTAATGTAAAAAAATACTTTTCTGGGTTTCTTTATACTGATTTAACCTATCCAATTATATCTTCAAGAAGAACTGGTAATACTTTAATACTTTCTTATTAAATGGCGATCATAATATTGGATACCATTCCATAATATTGGAATGGATACAATTTAGGTTAAACAAACAAAAATTTGTACGGCAATGAAAAACTACCTCAACCTCTTTATTTTGGTTATTCTGGGATTTACTGTATACAAAATATTGTATGCCGTCCCCAGCCTAGCGCCAAAGTCAAGTTGAGGTGTGGAAAAGCCTTCAGTACAATGTACCACTCATACGCCCCACTTGTGACCTGAATAATCAAGCAAAATTCAATGCACAAATCTGTGCACAAGAAAAGAGAGACGTTTGGATACTAAACAGGAAATGGGTGATAAGCAAAGCTATTGCACTTGGGAGACGGAACAAGGTCTAGGGCAGTAGAACCACTATTTTCCTAATCCTTATCTGGATGGTCAAAAATCTGGACTGTTGAAATCTTTGGAAAAATTGCTATTTATAATGGTAAAAGACAGTGGACTTATAGCTTGCTGAACAATATGGCTATGTAATAGACTCACCGTATAATGAACCTGATTGGCACACATAAAAAAAAAAAAAAAAAAAAAAAAAAAAAAACTATTACAGCGAACTGCAATGAACCAATAGCAATAGACAATGATCTTTATTATACATATTCTTCAGCAATATTACAGTCATCTGTGATAATTAGAGATGTGGATTATTGATGTTCAGTTGGAATTCTATTGTTACCTTAAATAAAGACAAAATAAAAACTAAAAAGCTACAGCATTTAAAGAGTTGCCCATTCCCATGTGCAGGACTTGGCCACTTTAGCTTTATCCATGACTTTCCGAATTACGCAAATCATAAAAATAGGTGTGAGGATAATTAAGGAGTGCACCACTCAAGTAACGGTGGAGTAGTGGAGGTTGGCAACATTGGTACTGCTTACGTCAGTCGTGTTGGTAGTCTGCCAGCCATCTCTGTTTGTCATCGTAGCGACCGACTACACACGAAACACACACTTATCACTGGCCACCCGACCAATGTCACTCCAGCCGTTATAAATCTCCACAACGCTCAAAAATAGAGAATCTTTAAATTAGCTCATTTGTAGGAGTTTCAAATGATGTATGGATAAAATATTGTCTAGTGTCTTAAACATTTTATAGGTTCTTTTAGCCGGAGTTAATGACACAGTGAAAGTTATTTTATGATTTTGGTACATTGATGGGCCCACAGAATATAGTGTGCTATGATACAATTGATTAGCAAACCATCTTAGAGTTAAAAGACATTGTGAATGGCTTAACTCTAACCTGTACAATAAAAGTCCTGCTCTCGTATGCATCTTTGTTAACCTCTTTTTTGTGCTCCACCATAAATTAAAGATAATGAAGTAGAATTATCAATCAAGATTCAAGTTGTTTACAAAAATACTAACACTTACTAAAATTACTTTGCACACAAGATCTACAATGTTGGTAATGCACATGAAAAGATTTGAGATACCAAATTAATATCAGAAGAGATATTAAGTATTTCTTGAGAATTAATTTAAAATTATGTGAAAAATTAGATCAAATAATAAAAATAACTGATAGTAATATTATTGGTATAACTTGTATTTAGATCTAATAATTACTCACAACTTGTCCCTTCTTCTTTATATACCCTCAAAAATTTGACTATCCTATAACCCCCCAATAATCCATACATCTGAGGTAAAAGTGTAAACCCCGCAGATTTTTTACATGTGGACATTCTCAAGACTCGTAGTAAAACTACAAATTTTCTGTTGAATGTTTTAGGGAAGTACATCTACGTAGAGATGTCGGGCTCTGCTAGGCTCGGAGCTGCGTCTCTGTTGGTCAGTCCGATGTTCAACCCGCCACCCCCGGTGGTCTTCAATGTGGCCGGCAGACACTACAACGCTTGCTCTGTAAGTGATGTAGTCTAATGTGTGTAAATGTGTAACGTGATGTAACACAAGCGCATATGAATGTGATAAGAGTGTTAAGGTGTTTGATGAAACCATTTGCTAAACTAGAGTTTTACTAGACAGCAGAGGAAAAATATGGAACAAAACAATGTATGTTATGGAAATGAAGAAGAAGTGGACAGGGTAAAAGAAAACTTTGAGGATGGATCTTGTTCCCCAGAGTAAAAATATTATAAATACAAGTTAATTCTTTTTGACATACCAAACAATACTTACAGAGGGAAATTAAATAATTACTGAATTCTAAGACCCATTGTGTCGTGTATGAATAAAATTAAGATTGTAGCTGAATTTAGCAACATCTTAGTGGAAATTATGTATTTTTAAAAGAGGGAGGTGAGAAAAACAAAACATAAAACAATATATGTAGCTAATAGACTTATTCTAGAAAGCATATTTTATTAAACTACAAATACCGGTACTGAATATGAGATCAATCCAAGCATTTAGTGGTCAATATTTTGTATTTTCTTTAGTAAAATTTTTTGTCAATTTTGGTTTTGAGTTTTGAATTATGTAACTCGTGAATTGAATCTCAAAACTGAAATAATTTGCTGGGTTTGAGATTTAGGATTCAGTTTTGACACATCACTGTATTTTCTCCTTACAGTTTTGGATTCACCTAGGTACTATGTAAGTTGTCAAATTTTTTATGTAGTTGTTGTGATTCTTGTTTGGCCGGTTTCCACGACAGCACATGTGGTACAGAGTGGTTCATCTTGTCACAGGCTGATTTAGTTCCCGTCTCTCGTAACACGTCAGTAATCACGCCTCAGTTCGTTACATCTTCCTCGTTATAATAAATATGTAACTGTTAAAGAGGTTTATGACAGTATAACAGTCAATTTATACTTCAATTTCCTCTTGACACAGCTCGTTTCCCGTTTTAAATGTGTCGGAAAGGAAAAAATTATGTTAATGAACTTCAATTACATTTTTTTGAAGATTTTTTCACTTACTTTTGAATTACTAATACATTGTACCTATTTTTATTTAGTATTATTTTTTTAAACATTAACATAGTTATCAGATAAAAGCTAGTTGTCATAAAAAAATAACCAGTCTGAAACCCGTTTATATAGCTATAAAAAATAAACATATACAGCTGTAACACATATAATTTTTGGAAAAACCAAAGTCATTAGTCATTTAGTTTTATAAGGGAACTGTTAGTGGAGGAATTCCTCAATTCAGAGAATATCATCTTTACCTTAGAGTCCTATACTTTTTGCTCGGGTAAATGGTTTTTGATCATGTCTCACACATACACCCCTAAAAGTTGTTTAAGGATGTAGAATGTATTGTAAAGCTTGGTTTTCCTTGGTGCAAAACACAGAGAGAGGATTGGAGAAAGCGACTTTCTGCTCGTCCAGTGGCGGTACACTCTGTTTCTATTTATTTATATTTATTATTGTTTTCTTTATTTATTTACTCAATACAAAGGCAATACACATCCATTTCAACAATAGCAGTATTTCTCGATTTGACGTTTGTCCTTCAAATACATCATATGTTGAGTTAGCCATATTATTAGTTTTCCTTTCCTAAACAGTAACACAACTTGAACCAATTAACTTACTATTTAACACGAGTATAAACATTTGAAACTGAAACATCAAATAATTGAGTAATAGCCCATTAACAAAATCAGATTAAAAGTAATTTTTTTCCAAAACTACCTAATATGAGTAGGTATAAACGTTTCAATATTTAAACACTAACAGGGAAAAAGTATAAAAAAGACTAAAAATTAATTTTAACATTCTAGGAAAACAGTAGGCCTACCATTAAATTACCTACTACGCTTCTGCACCTAAAACCCGGCTTAATAAAACTCACCATAATCACTGTGGCCGGGCCTTCTAACCACTTCTACTTGTCTATTTCCACAGGTGAGTTTCTACTACCACCAGTACGGAGCACACAGCGGGTCCCTCACGTTGATGTTGAAGGAGCAATACAACACACAGATCAAGGAACTCTGGCGAAGCTTCGGTAACCAAGGCAACGTGTGGAAGAGGGTCATTCGGCCACTACCTGTTGTGTCTCAGAGGTATAAATCGTAAAAATTATTTTCTTTACCATAGGATCTAAAAATAAGTTACTCCCTTGTGATAAAATCTTTCTAGTTTGATTTCATCTAGGTCTTCTTCCCTCTGTCACCATCAACTCCGTTTACTTTAAATTCTCACTCCTTAAACGTCTAAACCATCTTTAGTCTTACCTTTTCTACTCTTAAGCTGTTTTCCTTGTTCCTATCCCTTCCGTATTGTTTCACATAGATTTTAAAATGGTATTCCTCAAGCTTTTACATTGCTCCATTTTCTTTACCTGTATATTCAACAGTCTACTACTAAGCTGAAATGATTTTCATAACGTTTCAGGTACACGTTGTTCTTTGAGGCCAAGAAAAGTTACTCCATGCGAGGGGATGTAGCTTTGGATGACTACGCTATGAGTCCTCAATGCTTTGGGATTGGAGGTAAGATTACGTTCATAGTAGAAACAATCACTGACAAAAGTCGTCTTCTTTTTATTAGCTAAAATATTAGTATTTAACTCTGAGCCGTAGAGGTAATTCATGCCTATTTTATCATGTGATTTTCTTACACAAAATTTGGAATCCAAACTAGTATATTTGGGGGGCTCTTCTAGATAGCTCTGGACACTTTCTGAGTTACTTATAAGAACTGGTGAAGAGCTGGATTTGATCCTTTCAATCTACTATGAGATCTCCTGTCCAGACAGGTACTAGGCAGTGCCTTCGGGTTTAGACCGCTTGGCCATTGGTCGGACGTAACAGTCCTCTGCACTAACAATAACTGGTAAAACCCGAAGCCCGAGCGTAGTACTAAGCTGGACTCTAAAGCTGCAGCAAATGTCACACACAGCATTATTGAAATTTATTACTCTTGGGGCTAATATCTCAGCATAAGCGTCTTGAAGAATTTAAGAATAGTTAAAATATCATGCTCATGTCGATTGAGAACGCATTATTAGTTAAAGCATGTTTAAACTTTACTATAAATTGTTACATTGAATTACCCATTGCACTCAGTTTAGATATCACACACTTCATAATTTACTTATAAGGTTTATGTTTTCTAGACTTTACCAAAGAGGAACTGAATGGCTATCACTACCCAAGTGCTGGCTCCTCATATGGTAAGTTATTGATTACAAACGTGTATAATTTTTTGTCCGTAGTTATGTCTCACTTGGATAGAAAATTATCTTGAGGTTGTATGATGTATAAGTCCCATGAGGCAGAGCCATAAAGGGTTTGAAGATCAAGAATAAGAATGAATTCTTCCTAGATAGACATTAAACAATTTCCCACAGTTCTACAGCAATTATCCTATGCATACGGTAATGCATAATGGCAATACATTTGGTTTTTTGTACATATTTTAATCAAATACTTTTTTTGAGCTTTTGCCAACATTTAAAACAATTCATTTTCATATTGTACAGTTAATTAATTTTTCAGATCTTTATAAAAGAATGCTAGAAGGTGAGTTCAAACTCACATTGTTTTAACCCACCGCGTCATAACATTGGTTGAGTAGTTAGTAGTTATAATCTGTTAAATGACTTTAAAAATGTTCATGCCGTAGTTCTTAGACTAACAAAACTAAATGGTGTAAAACTGCATAATTAATTAACTCCAACTAAATGATACCTTATAAAAGATGCTTACATAAAGTTTCTGCCAGCTAATTATTTATTTATGTTTGAAATATGACTATGATGCAAGTACTAAAGAGTTCTAATCATTGGACTAAATTAAGATTCCAGTTCTTGACTTTTTTAAATATTTAAAAATTATGAAGCTCAATTTCAAATTTGTACAAGATTATTTCAAATTTATTTTTTATTTGCTTAGGCATTTCTTGTGATAAACAAAAACCATGTAATAAATCATTGTTTTCTTCTAGATCCTATGGGAAATGGAGTGGTGCATCCCTCGTTCAAAAACAAGACATGTAAGTAATTGAAAATATTAGTTTGTTTCATACCAAAATTTGTATAGCCTAATATGACTATGTTTGTACTTTTTTTTACAACCATATCCCCAATTCGTGCAAGATTAACAGATCAAGATCAACGGATGTCAAAAGAAACATTTTTTTATAGGTTTTTTTGGCTAGTGCTGCTGGCCAACCGAGTGGTAGGGACAAACTATGTGAAATTTATCTAAGCAAAATATTGCAAAATATTGTGGCTAGTACAGCTAGACACCCGACCGATTTAGATAATCTAAAGATAGTCTTTCTAATATCAAAAGATTTAGTGTAGGCCTATATTATAGTTCTGAGACTGACTGGGTAGCTAAGTGGTTATAGTGCTCGCCTAACAATAAAAAGGTTGCCAGATCGATCCTGAGAAAAGTCCATAGTTTTTGTTGGTTAGAAACTGGACCCAGCTGTCCCTGATCATTGGGCTTTGAATAAATAAATGATCCTGGCTAATGAAACAGCTGTTATTAGTCAGTAAAAAATTTACAAAGAGATCATATCACTCCATTCTACACTCATCCTTCACTCATATTTGGGTTAAAATACGTACATAGGTGATAATAATAATAATATAATGACTGAGTATTAATCTTCTACAGTTTGTAACTCGGTTTTGGACCAGTCTGTGCTGCTCTATTTCATTTAAACTGCTACGATGAATTCTTGCACTTCAGGGATTGAGATGTGTTGCAAGGCTTGTGAGTGGTTAGCGTCTCAAATTTTTGTAGGAAGTGCAGGTTTGGTTCCAGGGTTGTTACAAATTCTTTTCTCAAACTTTTTAGCGATCTCTTAACGAAATTCCACTTCCATGGATGAATTAAACAAATGATAGTGACATTTTTACTCTTACCTAATTTTTTGTGATTTACAGATTACATCTTTACCACATGTGGTGCCAATGGAACCAACGGTCCCAACCAGAGCCTGTGTGACAAGGAATACAACAACACAAATGTGAATGTCACTGTGATGCCGGAGGAGGAGAAGTTACAGGCCGGGATACAGAAGTGGACTGTGCCCAAAGATGGCTTCTACACGTATGTCAACTCTTTGATATATAGACAACAATTTTTTTTTTTTAAACAAAAACAAAACTAAATATATGTTTTCTATTTGGTTTTTGGTTTAGTTTTCTTGCAATGCCTCTGAGCTATCAATTAATGATGCTAGTAAACAGTCGATGTAAGATAATAATCAGGGTATAGTCTGCTCCCTTTAAAAAACATTAGAAAAAGCCAATGTTGTTTAACATAGAAAACCATTGCGATAATGGAAAAAATGACTTGACAATCCACTTGAGGTTTGTTCTGTTGGCAGGATCATCGCGATGGGAGCCAGTGGGGGTCTAGGTGCAGGAGGTCAGGGAGCTAGCAAAGGAGCGGAGGCGCGGCTAGTCATGGAACTGTTTGTCAACAAAGACCTCTACATCCTCGTGGGCCAGCAAGGGACAAGCAGCACTAAGAAGGTGTGTGGCTCAGGCTAAATATATTTAAGCTACGTTATTTGGAAGGAGATTTGAAAGGAACTCTAAGCTTTATCGCAGACACCCCTATCTTTTCTGTTTAGTTTGGATTGAAAAATGTGTAGGACCCCTGTTTCTCTAGCTGTCCGTACAGATCCTAATGCTGGTTTTCCCTTATTATTTATTTAGTAAAAAAATAGTAATATTTACTTCCCTTTAGTGATGGTCAAAACAAAACCAGAAATTCCGAATCTCAAAACCGAAACCGAAACTTTAAAAAATCAAATCCCGAATCTCGAATCTCAAAACCTAGACGCGAAACTTTTTACTTAGCTGGTTACAAGGGTTAAGGTTACAAAATAATACAGGTAATAATAAAATGTTAGTATGCAATCAGATTGAAAGAGGTGCTCCTGACACTGACATAATAACATAAATATGTGACTGAAAAACCCAAAACAACATATTTTTTTATAACATTAACAAATAAATTAAGCTCCTGACACCAACATAAACATGAATATTAGATTAATTCAAACATTTAGCGGTCAATATTTATTTGTGTCTATTAAATATCACTATGAAACTGAGTTGTGTGTTGTTCCAGTTATAGTATTTAAGATGCCTTTTGAAGTTCAGAATCAGAATACAAATTACTGTTAATGGTGATCTGTTTGATCTATTGCTACCAGCTTGTGGGGAAAGTGGAAACAGTGTTAGACACAATAATAATGATGCAAAATATGTCAGCAGTTTCAAGAATAAAACTGCCAAAATCTTCAATTTTAAAACTTTTGAATCTCGAAACTCGGTAATCGAATCTCAAAACTCGGTAATCGAATCTCGAAACAAAAACTTTTCCAATGTTTTGATGATTTTGAGATTTGAGATTCGGTTTTGACACATCACTACTTCCCTTATTATTATTTACTTCACACATGACATAATGTGTGGTTTTGATATACAATATATCCATTAATTTTTTTATTGACTTCTGATAGTTCAGTCTTTATTTTCTTCCAGAATGAGCCCTTAAGGTGAATGAATAAGGAGGTGTCTACTTTCAATTATTTTATTTCTTGGTGAAATCTTTACATATTTAACAATGACCAGGTCAAAAATATAATTGAACAATTTAACAAGTAGTCATATTATATTGTTGAATTAATTTGAAACCGTGTTTGATATCTCAACAAATAAATAATGTAGATGTAAAACTTTCAATTATAAACTCTGTACTCGTTAAATTTGAAAAAAAAAACATTCTTGAAAAAGTATTTTAAAGTCTATAAAAAATTAAAACCTAGAAATTGTTATTAATTATAGATGATATACGTAGAATGCAATTATTGTTTAGCCTGAAGATTTTTTTTCTGGAGCTAAAAGTTCTTTGAAAAGTATCTTTGAATTTATTCTCCAAGTCAATCGTAGGGTTTTTGATTGATAAAATACTTCCATTACATTAAAAAATATTACAAAAATAATTTTAACGATTTAATATTTTGAAAATGTAGAAAATAGATTTAGAACTAAAAATAAAATAAATTATTGCTCTGAAATAGTTGTATAATAAAAAAATTATAAGGTTGAGGAAGTTTCCAGTAAACCAATTTAATTAATTTCCACAGATTGTGTAGATATATTGTATCATGCATATTTTATACTCAATACAGTATTATTTTATTTTTGATAATATCTCTGAATATTGAATTACTATCTAAAAAAACCTTAAGATTAAAAAATAGGGTTTAAGTACATGTAATAGTAACAAATCCTGTTGAAAACACTGACTTTTTTGAGAATTCCTTGCTAAAAACTGTTATCTTCGAAAATTCTTAGTTTCGCAGTTGTTGTTGAAAATGAAGAAAGAGATCAAAAACCAAAGTAAGTGTCAAAAAATGTTTTTTGAGCAAATAATCCACTAACAAGTAATTGTAGAAGATCTAGTAGTGGGTAGAGCTACAAACTAACACTAATAATACTTAATTTACTTGTTTAAAAATATTTCCAAGGTAGTTGAACGTTTTATTTAAAAGAATTTAAGTAATCTAACACAATGTTAACATTTTTCATTTGCCATGTTTTAAAGTTGGCAATGATATCGTTTATCCCTTTGCTTTGATATAGCAGCTCAGTAAAGAGACATACTAACTTCAATGTTTTTTTTTATGTTTTATTACTAGTGAAGCGTGATTTTCTTGCTGTCACCTAATAGCCTTAGTAGACTAAATGTAATGTTAAATGTAAGAAAATATCTTATACAACCTAAAAAATTGACGAATAGAACATCTTCATCTTGTTTAAAATATACCATTTCGTTTACTAGTTGCACAAATAACCATTTACTTCAATCTGAATTGTTATTTAATTATATACTGCTTGTCTGTAGAAAAATGAACTCTTCTACAGTCTAACCTAGATGAATCCAATTATGAAATTCAACAAATAATCTCCAATTAACAGCTGATGTTAGTAAAGAATATAAAAGTTAATAAAACCAGATCGTTGGTCAATGTTTATGACTAACATGAGCACAACTCTATTTATCCACATCGTAAGACATTAATCTTTCTCTGCCTCTTTCACAGCTTATCTATTGACAATTGATAAGTTTAATTTAATTTGCAGTATATGGTCTCTCGTCCATCATCTCCACCAGTGTCTGGCCCAAAGTCGATTCCTGTTGGGAAGGAAAAGTGGAACAAACTAAGACGAGAACATGACAACGGAGGAGGACCACCTTACGGGAGTTCTGACGGACGAGTGGTTCACGTAAGAACAGTTTTACTAAAATACATTTCCATTTAATGAAATTCCTTGTGGTAGTTTTACCAGATATCCTACACATACTTGGGATTTATTTAAATGGAAATGTAGGCTACTTATAGATGTGACTAAGGTATGTAATTAGATGTGGTTTCAATGTTTTTTTGGATACTTAGAATCATTTTATTTTTTTGTTCTATTATTGCACGTTGTAGTTGTCGGGAATAAAATACTGCGGGGAAAGGTGGTTTTTTATTCATCATTGTTTTAATTTCTCATTATGGAAGATGTAGTTGTAGTTTTGTTATATTATTTAGTTTTTAGTTTGATTTTAAGTTCAGTATTAAATTTCAAGGTTATCTTATTATTTGATTACCTTGCTATACAATTTTATCTCATTATTTTACTCATATAGAGTTAATTATATACTATCATTTTTCTTATTGTTTACTAACTTCTTAGTACATTTAATATTATTTATAATTATTTTATTTTCTAAGTTTATTTTATTTTAAGATTAATATTTTTTACTTTGCCTACATTTTACGATTGTTTATTTTATTAAATATTTTTTATTTAACATAGTGTTTTATTTGTCATCCCTACCAATAAAAAATATAATGAGACGATTTACTATTTACCAGTTTAATAATTCTATTCAATTCAATGCTTCAAGAGTACTCTTTGATAATAATTTTAGTTATACTTGGATGTAAGTGAAAGTTTTATTTATTTTTGTATGAAAATTATTATTATTTTTTTTAAGAAAAAATATTGAACGACTGGAAATTTGCTAGTATAAAGTTTTTCTGCAATAGCGATGTATTCATAGTCATAAATTATATTTAATGCAATAATATAGTACAAGATAAATTTTAATATTTGTGTTCGTTGATTTATGTCACAGATTTATATATTTTTTCTTCTTGTGATTTTTTTTACTTTATTTTAAAAGACTGTTTACATTTATTCAGGACGTACCTTTGTCTTTAGCTGAGTTTCCTCGACTAGGACGGCTCGGCTCAACCCGTAAATTTTATGGTGACCAATTTACGTTTACGAGAGAGGTATTAGATTTTGATTTTTTAATTAACTCCGCTTGTTAATGATTTGTTGTGTTTTTAAGATTAACATTCCTCTAATCTAATAGGATTGAAACTACTAATATTTCATTATTTATCTACATGCATAGTTTTTTTTTAATCCTTAATCCTTGTATATGTTTGTTCTCCTTCAAACAATTTTATTTTACGAGAACATGCGGGTAGGGTTTTTGAAGGTTTAACATATCTTTCAAATGTTGTACCTTCATACAACTCAAAGCTGCTCAATTAATTATTACAAGGAAAACACTTCTTGTGATCTTTCAATAAGTAGCAATGTAAATAAGGAACAGGTGAGATTTGTGTACCTGTTAACGAGTTTTTGTATTAAACTGTCTGACAAGTGCATGAAAATTGGTTTTGTCACCATTCGATATCCTTGGTGAACTAAGGAAGAATGTATTGCTAAGAATATCTGTAGCATCAGTTTTGTTGTATCTCATAACTATATTTTCTATAAGGTTTTCAAACATTACATTACTTACTTACTGGAGTGGCCACTGGTACCTTAAGAGGTACTTGGCCTTGCCCACACACTGCCTCCAGGTATCTCTCTTTCTTAAGCTTATTTTCACTCCCAATCTTCTAATATCTTTTTAGACTTGATCCCTCCATCTAAGGTTAGGCCATCCTGGTGGTCTTCTGCCTTCAGGGTTTCTGTCAAGTATGTTCTTCGTGGTGCAGTTTTGCTTCTTCTCTTATTTCTTCTCATATTATGCCCAAACCATTTCAACCTTAAACCTTTGACTTCCACTACGATGTCTAGGTCTTTGTAGTGCTCTCTAATCACGATGTTATGCCTTTTCCTCCATACTCCATCCTCGAGCGTCAGGCCGAATTCTTCCTAAAAACTTTGATTTCAATTGTAATTATTTTCTGTTCTGTCTTTTTGCTCATTACCCATGTTTCTGATCCATATAGTATAACCGGTCTCATTATCGTTTTGTAAATATGTAATTTGGTGTCGTGGAATAGTAGTTAACATTACATTACTAACATTATTTAATTATCTTATCTCTAACAATGCTTACAAGAGTGAATTATGTCATATTGTAACTGTGTAGTACTAACAGAACAGGACAGGAAAACTTTGATAATTTCTACAAATTATGTTTAAGATAGCAAAAAAAGAGGATTGTCTAAAATTAAATGTGACAAACTTTGGTTTAGACACGCCAAAATATTATATTAATTCCAAAATAACTTGAATTAATTGTTTTAAAAGGTTTTATTTTATTGTAAGTTTTACCAAAACTCGTAATTAGTATGGTTATTGAACTTATTTAAATATTGTATCAATTCAAATTGTTCAATCCAGGATTTCACGATTGTAGTTATTTGTTTAACAACTTGAATAAATGTTTGTTTAAGTAAATTATTTCACAGTTTTCAAAAGCGAATATTAACTGTTACTTCTGTTGCATCATAAGCTTTTTAATTTTCTTGATTCATTTTAAATCCACAGCAGATACTTGTATCTAAAGTTAATATATTTCCTGAAAAACAGTTTAATTTTTTCTTGTTTTTTAGAGTTCAATGAATTCCTCAAAGCCCAACAACAAGCACTCCAGCAGACTGAAGGAAACCCTAAAGAAGATCAAGACTATCACAGTACTAGGAGGTGGGGGTGGTGGCGGCGGTGCTTCTTATGTCTATTACGTATGTATTCAAATTTCTACTGTTATTACCATGCTTTTGTTGTACTGTACCTTGAAGCTTTAATTTTTAGAAATTCAAATTCTGTAATAACAGTTTTGTCAGCTCGTACGTCTTTGAAAAATATTTACTATTTTGTGTTAATGTTGAAATTGAAACAATGTGTTTATTTTATAAGTATGAACGTAACTGTAAAGTATTCATTGTTGACAGATGACTAAGAACAAAGACAAGATGCCGCTACTTGTGGGGGCTGGAGGGGGTGGACTGTCACACGGACCTTCTACAGACGACGGAACTCAACACGGCCACGAGCCAGACCAACATGGACGCAACCAGACAGGCGACGCCTTCGGGGAGGCACCTGCAGGTTAGCTGATTCATATACAATCCTCCCTTCACACATTGGACGCTAGGCACTAATGTGGATCCATCCAAAGCTGTACTCAGACCAGTTTTTTCAGATATTTTTACTGGGGCCCACCAAACATATACTTCAAGATAAGGGAGCCAAAGCTCGTTACGGCCCTGGATCCATCTTACACATTACTTAGCTAGGCATAAAAGGTCACAGCATTATCACATGGAAAGCCACTGGTGGTTAGCGGAATTCAAACCCTTGACCTTTGGGACTGAAGTCCAGCACTGTGCCACTAGCCCAGCTCGCTCCCAATAATTTATTTATGTATACAGTAGGAGAGGCCTCTATCAAAAATCCCCCTAAAGCCAATGTCCAAACACTAAATCTTTGCCCCAAAGCTGAAGGAACTTAGATAACTTTGCAGGAGACTTAAAAAGCCATGGGACTCCTACCCTGACCTATAGTGCAGTAGAACGACTTTATTGTCTTTTGTCTATGGTAGCTGGTTTTGGTTAGTCTGGGTGGCATTGTTCATTTCATGATTGCATGATAAGAAAATGTTAAGAGTAATAACATCTCTTACTTTCCAACTCAGCCCGTACTCTCTTCTAATGTTTAGGAGCCGGAGGAGGCTGGTTGCCTGGTAACTACACGTACAGAGACGCCACGGGGTTGGCTTTGACACAGGGTGGCTCTGGCGGAACTGGATGTGTAGCGGTGAGTACTGTGGATACAACTAAGACATTCCATGGAGACTTATCGAGAGCTATAGCATCTTTTCTGTCATGTAAACAAACTCAGTAACAAGAAAATAAGGTAGAAAATAGAATTTTAGACACTAGCACAATCTGTGACTGGATTTATGTCTCTTGAACTGCATCATAGTACCAGAAACTAAAGGCAAAAGTACTGAAAATATGAATTTGACAGTTGCTCAGACTGATATTGGCTCATTCACTGTTTTTTATTAAAAAAATGGGTTCAGTTGGTCTTTATAGATGGAATATCTGCTTCAGTATCCAAAACATAGTTTTAAAAGCTGCCAGCAAAACAGTTAGATTAAAATATAAGTAATGTCACTCATTTGAAATTTTAATTGCATAGGAAATGTTTTAACAAAGTTTCCATCAAACTTCAGGTTCCATGAAATACATTTCAGTTTACCAATGCTAAAACACTGTAAGAAAACATCACAAATATTATTTGATTAATAAACAGTTTCTAAATTTCACATAGATTTTGTGTAGCTTTGGCTTTCCTGTTGTGTCATTATTAAAAATCACACACAACCAAAGAGTATTACTTGGAATATTTTTATATTCATCCATAATATCTTTCCACAATATATTGCATCCTGAAAACTATATAAATTAACCCTGGCAGGATATCAATCTGCTGGATGTTTTGAGTGACTAAATATAATTTTTATGTGAACCACCATCCTTCTTCAGCACAAGCTAAAAGAGTTAAAATTAAAACTATTTAGTTGTAGAGTTGTCTTTCCAGTTAGTGTAAGTTTTTTCAAAACTTTGTTGTACTGTTTCAGGTGTTTCTGGGCCATGGAGGATTTGGTGGAGGGGGAGGGGGTTGCACAGCAGGGGGAGGGGGAGGCGGCTATGCTGGTAAAATACTTTGATCTTTTTATTGTCAAAATAGTTATAATTTTAATGCTCGTCTCATAAGTGATTGATAAGCTGAGGTTGAGATATCTAAAATAGGTAACCGGTTGGATTCCATACAGAAATTATTTCCTTATTAAAAGCTCATTAAATTCAATCGTATATAACGTTTTCCATTAGTAAAATTATTTGTTTCCATACATAGTTAATTATAAAGTAGTGCAATTTAGTCCTTGCTTAGTGTAGACATTTTACTACTGTTGAACAAAATGTTTACATATATTGTGTAGGAATCGGTTTTGTTAATTTTAAGAATCAATAACATAGGTCCACAGCAACAAACCTTTTTACAGTCTTTGAAATAAAAATAATGACTTCATATAATGCATGCGTGTCTTAAATTAGTAGGATGAAGTAGTAACACATTTATTTGCCAAATTTTACATCCTTGCTGATCCCGTTTCTAACTGTACATTCTCAAGTGGCTCTTACTTTTGGGATTCTTATAATTTTTGTAGAAAATAAAGCAATAAAAACGTCTACGCTGGTCCATTTAATTTACTTCCCTCTATGGAAACACTGAATAGTTTTAGTAGGTTTCATACCACTTATTAGAAGTATTTCCCTATGTTTACAGGTGGCAGAGCCTGGTCTGACAAGGGACGTAATGGCGAGGGAGGTTACTCTTATATTGGCACCAACGGAACTCTGGGACACGTGGTCAAGGGCTCTAGTCTGGGGGATGGAAAGGTAAAACATACATTTTAATTTTCTTTTTACAAAATTAATTGAGAAATTTCTCAATAGACATTGGACCGATAGAATGTTCTTTAGAACCATCCGTAGTTTACTACTCTGCCCTTTTCTACCTATTTCCAGGGCCGGTTTAACCCATACGCGAACTACGCGGCCGCATATGGCGCCACGAAAAAGTGGCGCCGTGGTGCCAACGGAACATTTTTTTACGTGAACAACGTAATTTTGTTTATTTTTGCTCAGAGTTCAAGTATTCAAAGCACCACAATAAAGGCATTTATTCTCTTTGTACCAACAGCACTTTAAAATTGTGTATATTTGTACAGCACTACAACTCAAGGACTCAATGCCATTTGCAGTTTCGATTTGAACTGAGCTGACGCTCGGCAGTCGGCAGCGTCAGCGCCAGCGCGGCACCTATGGGTTTCATTTCACGAATCACTCATGCTCGAGATAAGCAAGCTCAGCGCCACTTGTCTAGTCACAACAAGAAACTTCCCCTTTCTTTCACTCCTTTCTGCCTCTGATCCTAGAGCAGAGCACTACGTTGTATTCACGATTACTACTAGTAATCGTGGTTGTATTGCACTCTATTAGTTGTATACGTAGGCCCACGATTACTAGAAAAATACCGGTATGGATCATAAACATAAACAAATGACGTTGTTGGCCCGTATCCTATACTAATAGCATTGAACATATGTTTTGGCAGTTCCATTTAAGCAATGTTAAATAATGTTTATTTTCGGGCCAAAAACGTCATTTGTTTATGTTTATGATCCATACCGGTATTTTTCTAGTAATCGTGCGTAGGCCTATAGCGTATCGGTATCGTATTGGCATTGTTTTGATGATTCATGATTGTTGATAAGCGAATTATTACGAGTGTTTTAAGTTTAATTTATAATTAGCGCATTAAATAAAAAGAAAGTATAAACTGAATGATTGAGTAAAACATATTGCGAGTTGAAACTATGAAAACAATGGCAGAAAAAAGAAACAGTCTGGCACTTATCATAGAAAGCGTAAGGCGAATTTGGAAGAGGAAGAAAAAAAGCCAAATCAATGAGTAGACTTTTGTAGAAATCATCTGGTGGCGAGTCCAGTCAGCCCAAAGAAGCCACGATAGAAGACGGCAATGACGTAGGTATTTATTTATTTATTTTCCAAGGAAAGATTAAAACAAGCAGCTGACCACAAACGGCAAACATTACGTCATTGCCGTCTTCTATCGTGACGTCATGCTTGACGAGCATTACATTACGGCCTGTTTTTTTTAGTGTGTCCTTGGTTTTGCTATGCTATAGCTTATATGATGAGTAAAAGTGTATAAATGTCACATTTCTGCGAATAATAAACAGCCTTTTATTGCAAGTTGGTATTCTTCTACCTAAACTTATAAAAAAATTCTTCCCAAAATTATTGGGGAAAAATTCACAAATACGGTTAAGTTATGTTCATGGGTTTGGGGGGGGGGGAATTCTAAGTGGCGCTGATTCGGGTGTTCGCTTAACTCTGAAAAATTCCTAGAACCGGCCCTGCCTATTTCCTTCGCCAATTTAGTGACTAACTGACTGATTTGTTATTCCTTCCTTTATAAAACAATGAGGATCTTAGCTTACTACCTTTTATATGTTTTAAAAAATTTTAAATGGGTGAGTTTTTGTCCTAAAACTTCTTTATTTTTTCAAAAGGGAGTCTAGTTTTAAAATATACATTTTACTTCAATCTGTCCTCTAAAGAATTCTCATCAGTATTATGTTTTGTGTCTGTTTTTGTACCTAAAAGCCGCAGAACTATAAATTTATTCAGGTAAGCTACATCTCAATTCAAAAAATTGCTAATCAGCCACATGGTTTTCCTTTTTTATCTGATGAGTTAAATATCTCAAATTAAGGCCCAACCTATCTATAATCTATATACCAGACAGTGTTATAAGCAGATACGAGTGTACCAATAATCTTTTTTGTGGTCTCTGATTATAATTTTTTATTTCGCAGGTTTTCATCATACCAGCGGTAGTTGGATGTGATTGTGAATACCGCTGCGTTGCTCTGGACGCTCACCGAAGCGCTACCATGTGCATCTGCCCCACAGGATGGGTTTTGCACAAAAATGGCACCTCTTGTATCAGTAAGTACTTAACATGTATTTATATGGGCTAGCCCTTTAAGCCTTGGTTGCAACACAATAAAACCTTCACTTACTCTTTTACATGAGGTTAATTCAAGTTACGGTTGAAAACTGTGACATGTGATGCAAACTAAATAGGCCAACTAGGAAGTGTACCAACTTAGTGCAGTAGGCTATTAGGTCTGATCAGTACCAACGTTGATCGTGAATTTGAATCTTGTTCATACTGGTCTGGTGTGCAGCTCATGAAGAGTTACCTTTTTCACTCGGTTGCTTGTTCACACTAAGCTTGGTAGGATATGTTCAACTAAAATAAACTACAAACGTTGACTGGATAAACTTATTCTCTGTGGGTGCTCCTCTGATTAGGCATTTATACTGTCTCTTTGTTCCAGTGATTAACCCCCCAGATGAACGTGTCCTTCCCAATTCTGCTTTGTTCTTCGCTGCCGTCTCAGTGTTTATGATGCTGGCCTTTACTGGTGTCTCCATTTTATTATGTAAGTATTAGTAATTTTTGCAAATTTCATACTGTCCCTAAGTATATTTTTAAATTGGATATTTTTTGGTTAAGAATAGTTTTTACCATTCAAGTTAGCTTACCATAATAATTGATTTATAACTAACAATTTTTGTTCTCCACTTTTGGTTGACATTTTAAACTCAGTAAGTTGTCCCTCATTTTATCCTTGTCAATAAATTAACTGCTGCTGATATTTTGTTTGGTAAAATCCTTATTACTTTTGGAAATTTTCTTAATTTCAATAGCATGCTTTTGAAGATAATCCTTAGAATACATCAAAAATAAAAAGGTTTAAATACCAGCTACTAAGCAATCCATTCAATTGCAGTTGCAACTAGTTTCGGCTCCTACTAACTAGTTGGTGGTACAATTATCAGGTGGTACAAGGACGTTTCCTTTATTCATATGTAGAGCGTCAACATTAGCACATAAATAAATAAACATTTACACACGACACAATACTAACACGCAAAAACATTTGGTAACTGATCAGGAGTCTGGACTCAAACACTGCCGGGTTAGCATCGTCTGTTTTTACTGAACAGTTACTATGAATGTTTTTCCCTGTTTGTATCGTGTCGTATGCAAATGTTTACTTATTTTTGCATTAATTGTGACGCTCTTCATATGAAAAAAGGAACCATCCATGTACCACCTAATGATGGCTCTAAATAGGAGCCGAAACTAGTTGCAGGTGCGATTGAATGGATTGCTTAATAGCAGGTAATAAAACCTTTTTATCATTACTTGGCAATCAAATGGCTAACATATACAACTTAAAATACAGGTTGTTTTATGGGTGTATTTATGTGTTTTGAAATTTTGAAATATCCAAATGTTCAGTTATTATAAAGTCGTTTACATTCTCTTATTTTCTTAAAAAAATTTGCTAAACAAATTTTTTTCAAGTTTCCTTATTTTAACTTTTGTGTACGGGCCGACGTGAATGGAGATAAGGATGTGTCTTACAGATAAGTTCGTCTCGTGGAATGTTTTGTGCCGGAAGAACCCTGCAGAAGAAAAAGTTGAAGTGACTTTGGAAGACGCTGCTGCCTTCAAGAAGTTTGACGGCCGATCCATGAAACTGGAGGACTTTAGACGGACTATTGTTGATATTAAGAACCGAAAGTAGACTTTGATGTTGAAAATAATGTAAAAACCTGCTTACGGTATGGATTGTGATTGAAACCCAGGCTGTACCATGACTTACATTTAATATAGTCAACTTCTTCTGAAGATCATCAGCTTTATATATCGTAAAAGTAAATATATGTACGCACAAAAAAGTGTAACACATGAACATAATATGTTGCCTTAACATTCATGAATTTCCAGATGTAGTCGAGTCTACCTAGACCATAAGCAGGTTTTTACACAATTAGCAGTGATTTTGAGGCAATAATGCCATCAAGAACTTTCACAAAATTTTGACATACACTATATATTTTTACCTAAGAGCCATCATATGGTCAGTAGTATGAAGAATATATTTTTATACCAGAGCCTCGATATTGTGGATATGTTCATATATTTTTCAATATTAATTCACAATTATATTGCTTTGTTTTTACGAATTAGCTTTATTTATTTGTATGTTTCTGTATGTACCTTGCTAGAATAGTTCATATTTATATTTATGTTAAATGCTAATATATAAGTGATACGCTTTATTTTCAATACCTCGCTAAATAAAATAGTTTTGTACATAACTGGATTCAATGAAACCTCAGAAGTCCAAAGTAATTTAGATGAAGCCCAATCAAATCCATCTGAAGTTTGGATTTACCCAGCAGCCTATTTTAAACTCTTATTATTTGATTAATAGAAATAATCTGGAAGTCTATTATGTTTATAAAGTCTTAAAAAATAATTCATATAACTCTCAGAAGGCAAGTTGTACTCTTTATACAGGGTATCCAGTAAGTAAACAGCCAATCTTTAGGAATTTATTTTATTGGTCAAAATAAAGGGAAATAAAGAGAGAATTTCTTTTTCCAAAATCTGTTAACCAGATTCCCCCTATTAAAATAATTAAAATTATAAAAATTTAAACGGGATACTGTACCAAAATATCGCTGATTTTAACAACACGTGTTAGGAACTTTTTTATTAACATTTAAAATTTCCTATCAAACAACCTCCTATAATACACACAAAATACAATTCTAAATCTATTAAATTATTAATTTCAATTGTTCAGTCCAAAAGATCTACGTTGTTAGGAGGATGATTTAAACCAGGCATAGTTTAATCAATTAATTCCTTGGACTAAGAGGAGTTGTGTGTAGTCCTACGATGCTGTGGTTGCTTAGTACTCATAAAACTCTTACTGAGCTGTGCTGGTTGATCAATCAATTTTGTATCCATCATTCGTCATTACAATAATGCAATTGATATTGTCAGTAATCAATAAAGTAACTGAAGTCAAAACAAACCAAAATGTCACAGACAAGACTTAATTAGCTAGAGTTATAGAGCTGAGCCAACCCCTCGCACCGTCCCCAGACAAACCACTATTGGAAGCATGCCCCCCATAGTGACAGTGCGAGTGGTCGCCCCACAACCCTAACTAAAAATGAAAGGCCGTGGGTGAATTACAAGACAATCAAATTGTGAAAAAAGCCTATAATGTCTCAAAAATAACAAAGTAACAAATAATCAACCAAGTAACCATCCAAAGATTTTTTTAAATCTCTAATTAATACAATATACTAATAAATACACATTTTAAATTCAATTAATTACATGATCAAAATACTCTTTACTATTGTAAAAGGGTCTTTAACCAAAAATTTGTACTTGTTAGAATGGGTTGGGAGAATATTATCGGTGGATTTGACTTTAGCCGTTGGGTGGTAGGCATTCTTTATTATGAATAAAATAATGTTTTTCAACTATGTCACACTTTTACTGACGTCTGGCCCTCTTCAGCGCAATAATCTTTTTCTAGATAACCGCTATCAACAGAAGCACGCATCCAGATTTCGCCGCAAGATCCTCAATGGTCCAGATCTTCAGCTCAACAGACTCAGGGTCGCAAGCAACTCCATGATGACGGAGTATAACCCCAACTATGAGTTTGGCGGGGGAACTTACACCATCCGCGACCTCCGTGACATCCCTAGGGACCAGTTGCGGCTTGTCAAGTAAGTTGTGTAATGTATGTAGTAAAGTGTGACGACGCTATTTTCTGACGTGGTACCGTAGTCGACGTGATACTCTGTATCAACCTTAAATTGTACAATTGATGTAAATAATTTTTAGTTTAGATTTTAAAACGTATTGAGAATGGAATTTACCTTACTCTTCTAAAGGTTACTGTGAGGAACATCAGCTAATAATATTAAAGTATTTTGTTTTAATATTTTTTTTTTAAATATTTGCAACTGTCCCGACGAGGTGAAGAAATTTAAAATTCTTTTTTTTATATTAGACAAAAGCTATTCACATTAGAAAAATAACAATTAACTAAGTATATTTATTTGTCATTGCAAATTACAGATAGAAAATTATTAATAACTAACACTTGAACTAAGCAAACTATTATGTCTTATTTCTTCTTTTGATGAGTTGTTTTGAGTGTAATATTTATAGTCCATTGTCACAAAATGCAGTAAATATTTTCATTAATAAAAGATTAATTTTGCCCCTCAATCAGAGTATTTTCTTTAATTCTACACAGGTGGTTTCTTCTCTTAAAAAATGTTTTCTCAATTAAGCTTAAAAAACTTGTTTATGAACTTACAGCTTATTGTGACTAATTTTCACTTCCTCATTTTATCTCTGTACTTGGTAACTATCTGTAATTTTTTTCAATATTGTGATTTTTTCAGAGCTCTTGGCCAAGGAGCATTTGGAGAGGTTTATCAGGGGTTCTTCCAACACAGGGCTGGGGATGCAGTGGAAATGCCAGTAGCTGTCAAGGTTTGTAATCTTTATCTTTGGTTAAAATTTAATCCGCCCTGTCGAAAAAATTTCTTTTCTAATTCTCAGTGCCTCACAATGATTGGAGAAAGGTCCAGAAGGTGGTTGTCCTGATGGACGGTATAAACTGTAACTCAGGTTTGTATGTTATTTCCAACAGTTGGTGAAGCAAAGGGGGCCTCACTAACCTTGATATTCTTTACAAAATATAATTTTCCAAAACATAAAGCATGTGTTCATTTAGTGTAGTTTCGTGCACTTTTCTAACTCTTGCAGTTAATATGTGGATTTTTATTTGTTGTGGCTATACTTAAGTCACTATTTAAATTTGCTGTAGTATTAAGTTAGGTTTTAATAAAGTATTCAAGTTGAAAGTCACAGCATTAGTCAAAAGGTTCTTTTGGGCGAGCCTTTATCCCTCATTGCAGCTAACTTAAGATACTCATTGAGCCAATGTTATTATTTACACTCAGGATGAGAGTAAATTTCTGAATAAAGTGTCCATGAAGCATATCAAATTTACTTAGTCTTCAGGTTTGATGTTGAGGGTTGGGGGGGGGGGGGGGATTTTAAACTCAGCATACCAGGATCCAACAAAAAACTTGCTTAAACTGGTCCACATAAACCTAACGTCCACATATAAATAGAACGTATCTAGGTCAATAGTAAGCCTACCATAGCAATATAGATTTTCGCTTCTTTTACAAAAACCTAAAATATTCAAATTTTGCAGACGTTGCCTGAGCTCTCCACTAACCAGGCTGAGACAGACTTCTTGATGGAGGCGCTGATCATGAGCAAGTTCAACAACCCGAACATCGTACACTTCATTGGCGTCTGCTTTGACAAACACCCTCGGTTTATTGTCATCGAACTATTGGCTGGAGGCGATCTCAAGACGTTCCTGAGAGAGTCAAGACCCAAACCTGTACGTATCGTAGTGTTGTTATATGTTAACTTTGTTTTATCGTATATTTTTACGTGGGTCAAGTTCCTTCTTGTACATTGTTTTCATAAAAAGTTGTATAAAATGGAATATATTACCTTTTGCGCCAATCGATCCGTGATGTAGTTAGAAACAACTACAGCTGTTTCACGCCGCTGGGTCACATCTTCAGCTTGTGGAACGTTAAAATAAATATGCTTTCATCCGTGTATGATTTTGTCCAGATTTATATTGTCTATGAAACACGTAATTTACAGAGAGTCATGACGCAACATCCACCGGTGCTTTATCTCGTTTGTTCATTACTTGGCCAAGTCTGTAAATTTGTGTCATTTCCAATGTTTTGAGTCCGTTGAAATGACAAAAATGACCTACTGGCCGTCATTGTGGATCCATCACAGCAATTTATCTTCGAAGCAAGCTACAATAATAACTAAGATTCCTCGTTGGTGCAATGCATACAAATTTTGAACTAGAATTTTTGCTAGGTTATCTAAGATCAGATTCCAATAGGATATTCTCATAATTAATTTACTTGATCTACTCTTTTTCACCTGACAGCCTCAATTAGCTAATAAACTTAAATTCTATCCCAGTGGATATTGGCATTGCTACGTGTAACCCCTCGGACACTTTGTTTGTAGGAGCGGCCGTCCCCTCTCACCATGAAAGACCTGCTACAATGTTCCATTGATGTTGCCAAGGGTTGTAAGTATATGGAGGACCATCACTTCATACACAGAGACATAGCCGCTCGCAACTGTCTACTCACCACCAAGGGGCCCGGCCGTGTTGTCAAGATCGCTGACTTTGGCATGGCCAGAGATATTTACAGGTAAAATTGTAGTATTTTCAATACATTTACTTTCATATTTATTTCTCTAGTTTTTGTAAACATTTTTTTAATTCCGTTAGCAATTTTCATAATACAGTACTGCCTCTGGTAGAAAATTATAATATTTCACCTCATATAAAAAAGTTCTTTAAGGGAATAGCTATATAAATCTTGTAGAATGTATAAAATTGTTGAATCCATTTACCGATGAAGCCTGGTGCTTTTTAACAATGCTTCTTTAAGAGAGAAATTCTTGCTAACAAGATGCAGTATCCTTTTATAACAAGAACATCAGCTGCAGCGAAATGAATTATCTATTTAAACGCACCAGAGATGGAAACTGGAATCCTCTCCAAGTAAAAACAAGATTTAGTCTCACTTCTTTTCAATACAGCTGTAACAAAAGTAATCCTTAGAATGTAGCTTATGCTTGATGAAGTTTAAACTGAAACTGCAGTTTTTTGGACTCTAAAGAAGTTTCAATACTACTACTTATTGTCTCATAAAATCAGTGGCAGTGTCTTATTATTAGCTTTGTCAACAAACTTATGCACAATCAAAGTACGTTACGGCTCCTTTTCAACTGTTAATGCTATTTGATACTATCTCTAAACTGATGCAGCTTACCTGTAAGATCAACTTCAGAATTTAAGAATCACTCCTTGTACTTCAGCTACCTATATACTTCTCACAAACATTCTCTTTAACACAAACTACTTGGTTTTCATGCAACTCATTACCCATGTACACTTTACACATCCTACTCTCATATTTGATTCATATTTAGGTACAAAAACGCCCAGTTGTGTTCCCATCTCAACCTTGACTTACTTTAACCCTTTTGTGAAATTCCACTAATTCATTCAGTACTTTATTAACCCTACGAAGTAATAATGTTCTTTTCAGAGCCGATTACTACAGGAAAGGTGGGAAAGCAATGTTACCTATAAAGTGGATGCCTCCAGAAGCGTTTCTAGACGGCATCTTCACATCCAAGACTGATGTTTGGTAAGAGACTTATGTGTGATTGTAGGAGTTTTAAAGCTCTATTCTGTACACCTCTGAACTAGACATTTGTTGAACTAAATCATGTCTAAACCATAAAACGTGCAATTAAATAGAGGATGCATTTGAAATCTCATATTGTGTGTGAATTAAGGAAACTACGGTATAATATTGAACCGTAAAAAAATACAGCAATCACCTTTATACATAACAAAAAGCCCTAAGCCCTAGACAAATCGGCTATGACTTGTTATATGTTTACATAATAATGATGCATACGGCTCAATTCATTTTAAAAAATTAATAAAAAAGTAATTGTTTGAATACTTAAACAACGCAATGAATATGTGCAACTGAATGAGTTATATGCTGGTGGATGACCAACAACAGTAACTGGATCTAAACACATGCTGCAAAAGCTTAGAGTCGGGACCACGTAAGTTTACAGTTGAGGGAGGAGCCTATTTACCATATGGTTTTGAATGAACCAATAAGAACCGTGCGGTGTTGCCAAATCTAATAATACCAGCTGATTTGAAAATATTTCTTAGTATATTTTAATTAGTGTTGTCAACGGGCGATGTGGCAACGTCGCACTAGCCTTGTCTTGTGATTGGCTGCCACCAACTGCAAACTTACGTGGTCCCAACTCTAAGCATGTAGTTTAGTATTTTTAATCCATTGATACAGTATAACCGAACTCCAACTACTCAAATCACCAACTATCTGATTCTTCTTCAAAAATAATTTAAAAACGACAGTAATAAAAATGTTGTTAATGAATGCAGAAGCCGTTATCCACAAAATGTATGGGATATGCACCATTTCCCCATAAAATCTTTTGTAATTCTTCCATACAAAATTTCACTAGCCTACACGAAATCATCAATGCTCATTTAGGAACTCAACTTACCCACAACTCTTTGCAGGTCGTTTGGTGTCCTACTATGGGAGGTGATGTCGCTGGGCTACATGCCGTACACAGGTTGTGCCAACCGCGAGGTGATGCAGTTGGTGACCAACGGAGGCCGGCTTGAGTCACCCAGTCAATGTCCGGAGCCCATCTACGCCATCATGTGTCAATGTTGGCACCCCAACCCCGACGAGAGACCTAACTTTGGCACACTGCTGGAGCGGCTCGGCTACTGCATGCAGGTTTGTCCTTAGTGTTGCAAATGTTGTATGTGGAATGGGAAGTCAAATGGCTGATTGGACATTTGTTTGAAAAGGAATAGAGTTCAGCTAGTTTTGCTGAGAATATTAGGGAATTTCTCTTTGGTCTCCTCTCTAAAGGAGTTATGTATTAAGATGAATTATTTGTCTGATATGTTTAAAGTTATATTTGATAGGATATTATACAAATTGTCTAGTAGGAAATTTGTTTAATATAGTTCAGCAAGCTTACTTGTGAAAATTAGAGTAAAAAGAAAAAAATAAACGTTCCTTACTTACTTTCAAAATATACTCTTAACTTAACTGATCATTCCATCAATCAAAATCACCTCACACCTTTATGTAATGCAATTTGGCTATTCCATACAGGTGTGAGTATAACAAAAAGTTGCCCCCTGGTGGGGTTTTAATGAATTTAATTTACACTTTTAATTGAACTACTGAGGACATTACAATCACAGAGCTGCGCAGTGGAAATAAAGATGTTAAGTGTGGGCCCTGTAATTAAATATCCCAGAAGTCCGATTTATGGACCGTGAGAGGTCTGATATGTTGTCCTCCTTCACACCTTCTTCAGCTTAATTCTAACACTTCTTAAAACTAATAGATGTGTCTATTTGATCACTCCATGAATTAAAATGTGCTGTTCTGATGAAAGATTGTGATATGAATTGATACTCTGTAAAACTGTAAAATTGCAAATAATAACATATTGAAATATTGATTGAAAATATTTGTGAAACTGTTTGTTCAGGAAATATTTATCAAAGTATGACTTCAAGATGTTATATATATATATACTGGATTCGGTTAAGCCGATTACTCATGAATTCACCAACTTGATATTAAAAAATGTGATCATCAACACTCATTGTGTATACTTTGTATACTTCTTCCAGTTAAGCCATTTACCTCTTTAATTTACCAGTTTTATACTAATGATACTAACAGCTGAAACACAGGATAATGAAAAGATGGTGATTTGTAAAAATGCTATATAATGAGATGATAATTGCAAATGAGCTGTGATACAATAATTAAACATAAACAATGCAGTTACATTTTGTGCACAATAATTAACGGTTTGAGAGAGAGTGAGAGAGTTGATTGTAAGCTTTGGTGGTTTGCCACATTTTGAAACTACAAAGTCTCGGGATGACCTAGCCTTGATAATTTTATTTATTTATTTTGGATCACCAGACTCCCCAAAGATGTTCGTAATTATCAAACTGGCCAGTTACAATTTAATCAAACAGGGACTATTATGTAGGTTTGTGATCTACATCACTCCTTGCTGATCAGTGCAGCGGGCCAATCGACTGCTGAGTCGATTATTGATAATATTTATTTAGTATTTAATATTCATGAATTTAATGGGAGTCTATCCTCATGACCCTTTATCAACCCTAGCCTTCGACCGAGCACTCTGTTACCCCCATTTACGTTACACAATCAAACTCTCACTATTTAAAAATGTAATACTGTTCAAAAATTATTCTACACATGAAATTCAAACGTTTTAAATAATAATACTGACGATGATAGAATCTGACTTTACATAGAATACAAAAATAATAATATCACAGATAAACATTGCTCTTTAAATTAATATACCATTTCAATTCAATTTAATAAATAATTTTCATTTGACTAGGTTCACTATTATAACTTAAATTCTTTGTATGACATGACCAAATTTAATAAAACATTTTATTCTGAATCGTGACCATGTGCTCTAAGTAGACCAAATGAAACATGAAAATCTCAGACCAAACAAAACATGATTCATAACTTGTAAAACGAGTGGTACATGTGAAAAAATGTGGCAGATTGGCAAGACTATTTTAATACTAAAACACGAATAACACAAACATTTACTTACGTACACATGTCGACACATTAACATTCATTCCGACGAAGATTCACGCGTACCGAACATTTAAAAACTGACTCGTGGTAATTTTGACTTTTTGTCTGACCGAGCGGAACATCACGACACGGTTTTTTCTGGTGTAGGACTTATTAATTCTTGTTTTTTCGAGCTGGCGTTTAATGATTCAATTGAAAATACCTTCACGACGACCCGCTATTCGCTAGAAACTGACATTTGCTATCGATATGATGCATGTACGAATTTTCATCACGAACGCGAACAATCAATCCGGCATCTCAACTGTCTCGACTTAATACTAATAAAACACACACCCAAATGCAATTCGGCGAAATTTTGACAATTGCGATCGTTTGATGCACGTACAATTTCCGCCCGAACGCTAATTTCCGAGCTACGAATTAAGATATTAATAAATTCGTCCTACACCAGCGACAAAACGCGACTTCACATGTTGACTACGCGATTACTGAGCCACGAGTGACGACGAGACGTTTGCACACGGCACGGCTCCCAACGGTCTTCCAGTTCGTATCCTTCCGCGTTACGTCATGTTGGACTGACTTGTCCATTGCCTGTCGCGGATTTTAAATCTTTTGATTTAAAAATCGGCACAGAAATCTCCCCTGCCAAAAAAATTGGCCCGAGCGACCTTCAGGTCCGCACGAAGGCCTTTTCCATCCCGGGACAATTTCGACCCGGCGCGACGACGCTTGACGTGGCAACAGACGCTTCATTCATACGACACATTTTTTGTTCATTTTTCCATTGATTTACATTTAATACATTTAACACGAAACAATTCTACACATAAACATTTGAAATTTGAATAACAAAAATATAAACTCTGAAACTTTAACAATAATAAAAATTTTGCTTTGAGGTCGGTATTTGAGAAATAAAAATTGTTGTCAACTGACACATTGTGTCATAAACCAAAACTGCATCAATCCATCAACAATTTGAATGGTGTAAACGCGCACGCTTAACACACTGTAGAATTATCTAGCATTCAGCGTTGAGTAGATGTCAACAGTCAGTTCATTGACCCGTAGCGCAGTCGACAGTCAGCTGTTGCCGATGGAGTGGGCGAGGGCGGGGGACATTGTTGTGGTGAACGGCCCCGATGTCTGCCTGTCTGTGCGGGTAGGTTCTACTCTCGCCCCACCACAGCTAGAACGTGACCTCTGTTGGCCAGCCTTCATGTCGCTCACAGTGGTTACATAACATGACTCAGATGATTCATTGTTTCTCAAAATATGAAATTATGAAAATGTGTAAAACAATTGACCTCAGTTTGACTCTATTTACTCAAAAAATTGGAAACTATTGCACATGTAAATATAAATATAAATAATCTCTGTACGAATATGACACAAATAAATAAACAAGTAAACAAACACAGAAATATCAATGTGGATCAATTGGATAATTGCCTTAGGGATAACAACTGATACCCTTATCAATGCCAACCTGCCTGGTAGTAATGCCAATCTGCTTCCTTGTTACCAGACCTCTCAAATTAGTGCTACCACTTTTTGTAAAGAAAAAATAAATGTTCCTTACTTACTTTCAAAATATACTCTTAACTTAACTGATCATTCCATCAATCAAAATCACCTCACACCTTTATGTAATGCAATTTGGCTATTCACTGCTGAGTCGATTATTTGATAATTTTTATTTAGTATTTAATATTCATGAATTTAATGGGAGTCTATCCTCATGACCCTTTATCAACCCTAGCCTTCGACCGAGCACTCTGTTACCCCCATTTACGTTACACAATCAAACTCTCACTATTTAAAAATGTAATACTGTTCAAAAATTATTCTACACATGAAATTCAAACGTTTTAAATAATAATACTGACGATGATAGAATCTGACTTTACATAGAATACAAAAATAATAATATCACAGATAAACATTGCTCTTTAAATTAATATACCATTTCAATTCAATTTAATAAATAATTTTCATTTGACTAGGTTCACTATTATAACTTAAATTCTTTGTATGACATGACCAAATTTAATAAAACATTTTATTCTGAATCGTGACCATGTGCTCTAAGTAGACCAAATGAAACATGAAAATCTCAGACCAAACAAAACATGATTCATAACTTGTAAAACGAGTGGTACATGTGAAAAAATGTGGCAGATTGGCAAGACTATTTTAATACTAAAACACGAATAACACAAACATTTACTTACGTACACATGTCGACACATTAACATTCATTCCGACGAAGATTCACGCGTACCGAACATTTAAAAACTGACTCGTGGTAATTTTGACTTTTTGTCTGACCGAGCGGAACATCACGACACGGTTTTTTCTGGTGTAGGACTTATTAATTCTTGTTTTTTCGAGCTGGCGTTTAATGATTCAATTGAAAATACCTTCACGACGACCCGCTATTCGCTAGAAACTGACATTTGCTATCGATATGATGCATGTACGAATTTTCATCACGAACGCGAACAATCAATCCGGCATCTCAACTGTCTCGACTTAATACTAATAAAACACACACCCAAATGCAATTCGGCGAAATTTTGACAATTGCGATCGTTTGATGCACGTACAATTTCCGCCCGAACGCTAATTTCCGAGCTACGAATTAAGATATTAATAAATTCGTCCTACACCAGCGACAAAACGCGACTTCACATGTTGACTACGCGATTACTGAGCCACGAGTGACGACGAGACGTTTGCACACGGCACGGCTCCCAACGGTCTTCCAGTTCGTATCCTTCCGCGTTACGTCATGTTGGACTGACTTGTCCATTGCCTGTCGCGGATTTTAAATCTTTTGATTTAAAAATCGGCACACAATAAAAGAGTACAAAACATAACAGTGTGTTCAAAAAATATATAACAAATGGTTTGAAGAATGGTAAAATAATTAGGAATAGAGAACATATTTTAATTTTTAATTAGCCTAACTTAAGATTTGAGAGTTGCTTTTGTTTTATATTATTTATTTATGTTGACGTGAGTTGTTTTGAAAAACATATATTGTAATATGAAAAACGCTCAAGAATAAAGACGATTTTCATTTCATTTCATTCATTTCAGTGGTGTTACGTTCTGATGTAGGACTTCTTTAGATGAGAAGTGCCAGTTGAAGTTCAAAATTGGAATGAAAAATTCAAAACGAGAGCATTCCAGTTTTGATTTTTAACCAACCTTTAATTAGCTAATTTTAAACACTGTGCTACAGACAAAGTACAATTGATATGTTGCATTTGCTTCTATAGCTGGATGCGTACTGAGTGAAGGAACGCACTGTTACTAAGATGGCGGTGATAATACCGCCCCAAGCGGCACCAATGCAAAACCTCTGTTACTTTCTGGACGGCCCTCGTAGATATGATTTTACATGCAAGTGTGCAATAAGAAATATTTATATAAATTCCTAATGCCTTGGTTCTCTTATGACAGGACCCTGATGTGGTGAACGCCCCTCTGCCAGTCTTCCACCGACCTCCCTCCACAGAGAGAGACACAACTGTCATGAGGCCTCCAGCCAACGACGACTGTCTGCAACCCGACTATCTGGTGCCATTGACTGGTGAGTCTAACTCATCATTAGTCATTAGGTATAGCCTTTAAATAAGTAGTCACATCATAGTTCCCATGTTAAAACCGTAGCTAGATTGAAAATTATTATAGTTATAATTTGACTTCAACTATCAAAACTTTAACTAATTCGCCAATTTTCCAAATCGTTTACATACTAAAAGCTGCAGAATATTTTATGCCACATCAATTGTCAAAGTATCCAAAACTTAGATAGTGAATAGAGTTTTGAGATTAACACCCTTTGTCAGTGACTCATCCACCTACGTATTTGAATGGAAAATCAGACAGATAAAATAGAAAGTCAGTAGTTTGACAACGAGTTGGCGAGGCCAATTACTAGCTTGGGTACAAGTGGCCATGGCAGTGTGTAAGTAGTTTGTTGATGCTCTGAAACTAGACCCGGCTTTCTTTGATAGTGGACTTTTAAATAGTCCTGGCCAAAGAAACCGCTGATTTATTCAGCAACAAAGCTACACAAGGCATCTCACTCAATCTTTCACTAATCTTCAGTTTAAAATATATATATCTTCAGTTTTAATACAGAGAACTGTGTCTTGTCTTGAGGCAATTCATATCACTAAAAACTCTGTATATTTCAGGAGTAGTGGAAGGTGGAATTCCCACATCACAATCGACACAGCCACTGTTAGACTCTAGCAACAACAACAAGCCGGTGCCATACGCCAACGTTGCGCCAGACAACCCCAGCGCCAACGGGCCATTCATTGTGTCCAACCATGCCCTACCATGTTGAGGTAAGCTGTTTTAAAAATAGTCTTTAGATTTAATACACTTTGATTTTTGTTGTGTTTATATACATTTTGTAGGGTTCACAAACTTAATCTCAAATTTTATAACCAATTTGATCAGCCTTTTTTGAGTGCCAGGATCAAAGCTGATACTAACAAATGTCTTGTCAACAGTTGATAACAGTCAGAACATCAGAGGCTACAGTTGTGAGATGCAGGGTCTGTTTGGCTCACCCCAGACCTGGGACTACACAACATGGTAGATCTAACAACATGTTGTTGTACACAGGGGCTGGTTGGAGGCTACAGGTGTGAGATGCAGGGTCTGTTTGGCTCACCCCAGACCTGGGACTACACAACATTGTAGACCTAACATTTTGTTGTACACAGGGGCTGGTTGGAGGCTACAGGTGTGAGATGCAGAGTCTGTTTGGCTCACCCTAGACCTGGGACTACATAACATTGTAGACCTAACATGTTGTTGTACACAGGGGCTGGTTGGAGGCTATAGGTGTGAGATGCAAAGTCTGTTTGGCTCACCCTAGACCTGGGACTATAACATTGAAGACCTAACAACATGTTGTACACAGGGGCTGGTTGGAGGCTACAGGCGTGTGATGCAGGGTCTGTTTGGCTCACCCTAGACCTGGGACTACATAAAATTGTAGACCTAACAACATGTTGTACACAGGGGCTGGTTGGAGGCTACAGGTGTGAGATGCAGAGTCTGTTTGGCTCACCCTAGACCTGGGACTATAACATTGAAGACCTAACAACATGTTGTACACAGGGGCTGGTTGGAGGCTATAGGTGTGAGATGCAGGGTCTGTTTGGCTCACCCCAGACCTAAGACTACATAACATTGTAGACCTAACATTTTGTTGTACACAGGGGCTGGTTGGAGGCTACAGGTGTGAGATGCAGAGTCTGTTTGGCTCACCCCAGACCTGGGACTACACAACATGGTAGATCTAACAACATGTTGTTGTACACAGGGGCTGGTTGGAGGCTACAGGTGTGAGATGCAGGGTCTGTTTGGCTCACCCTAGACCTGGGACTACATAACATTGTAGACCTAACATGTTGTTGTACACAGGGGCTGGTTGGAGGCTATAGGTGTGAGATGCAAAGTCTGTTTGGCTCACCCTAGACCTGGGACTACATAACATTGTAGACCTAACATTTTGTTGTACACAGGGGCTGGTTGGAGGCTACAGGTGTGGGATGCAGGGTCTGTTTGGCTCACCCTAGACCTGGGACTACATAACATTGTAGACCTAACATTTTGTTGTACACAGGGGCTGGTTGGAGGCTACAGGCGTGTGATGCAGGGTCTGTTTGGCTCACCCTAGACCTGGGACTACATAACATTGTAGACCTAACATGTTGTTGTACACAGGGGCTGGTTGGAGGCTACAGGCGTGTGATGCAGGGTCTGTTTGGCTCACCCTAGACCTGGGACTACATAACATTGTAGACCTAACATTTTGTTGTACACAGGGGCTGGTTGGAGGCTACAGGTGTGGGATGCAGGGTCTGTTTGGCTCACTCTAGACCTGGGACTATAACATTGTAGACCTAACATGTTGTTGTACACAGGGGCTGGTTGGAGGCTACAGGTGTGAGATGCAGGGTCTGTTTGGCTCACCCCAGACCTGGGACTACACAACATGGTAGATCTAACAACATGTTGTACACAGGGGCTGGTTGGAGGCTACAGGCGTGTGATGCAGGGTCTGTTTGGCTCACCCTAGACCTGGGACTACATAACATTGTAGACCTAACATGTTGTTGTACACAGGGACTGGTTGGAGGCTACAGGTGTGAGATGCAGGGTCTGTTCGGCTCGCCCCAGACCTGGGACTACACAACATGGTAGATCTAACAACATGTTGTACACAGGGGCTGGTTGGAGGCTACAGGCGTGTGATGCAGGGTCTGTTTGGCTCACCCTAGACCTGGGACTACATAACATTGTAGACCTAACATGTTGTTGTACACAGGGGCTGGTTGGAGGCTACAGGTGTGAGATGCAGGGTCTGTTTGGCTCACCCCAGACCTGGGACTACAAGCCGCAGTATTATTATTGTATTATAAGCTTTGACTGTGTGAGAACCACACTCTAGAGATATATTTTCATTCAATCGAGTATTTTTTGTACAAAAAAATCATAGCATATAAAAATTGTTATGCTTTCAAAGTAGATTATCAGCCAGCGCTTTGGGAAAAGCTCGGAAACTTTATTATGTAAGATTTCTTAAGTAGGAATAAAATGTTACATATTTGACTGTAGAAAAGTACTTTTTTATAAGAGGTCAGCGATTACTATAGTTTTTTGTTTTTTACAATTTGCAGTAATGCCAAAAATCTTGATCATACTTACTACATTACAGTCCAGCCAAGTTCTTGAAAGCTTTAATCGGCGAAAATACAAGCAATATTTTTACAACGACATTTTTGACGAAGAACTTTTGGGCTATGTTTGTACTACAAGTTGCTGGAATTTTTCAAACCAGCACAATTTGTATTACCTCAAACTAGAATATTTACTATTGAACGGATATTTGTGCATACTGTTTTTAAAAAAGTATATGTAAATAACACTTTTGACAAACATGTACAAACAGAGATTTTTCTAAACAATCACCAATGATGGAATTTTCCATACATTTATTTACTTACATTTTGTATACCTAAACTTCTATTTTTGATTACGTACGAGCTGTGACTGCTGTTTTAACCATGGTTCTTTCTTATTTCTCTATCAATTCCTACAGTCAAATATGAAAGCCTAAATACCTTGGTTTCCATTTTGTTTCCCATAGAAGACCAGTTAAGGGGTAAGTGAGTCGAGGGAACTGTGATATTACTTATAAGTTTTGTTACTCTTAGTTGTACGAGCTCTTCCCGGCAAATTTCTAAGTCAGTATTTAGTTCGTACTCTTATAACGGCGACATATAATGCCAACGTAGCCATAACTCATGACTTTTGTACTTAACGTAAATTGTATGTATATTTGACATATATAATGTGAAAATGTTGAGTGAAAGTATGTGCGGATCTGTGAATTGATAAAGAGAAGTATCGATAAAAATATGTGTAATAATTATAAAATGAACGAACAATCACTGGCGGTGGTTGCACTGGTTGTTGTAGTAGTTGGAAATGTAGTTTTATATTTTTCTTAAAGATTTTTGTTATTATAGGCATACAAATCCTAATTAATTTTTAATTTTGAGATTATTTGGTATAAAGGAACGGTTCCCACATTTAGAGAAAGAGCGGAAAGAGCGATTTTTGTTAACAAAAATTTAGTTTTAATTTTCTAGAATTAATAATTTGCCACAATCGTGGGTGTCAACGGCGATGTTGATACTGGCGGGAGATGCTAACTATTTCACTGCTATCGCGGGGAAGTTCCTCGTAACAGACGGGGGTCGCTCTCATTTGGACTAGGAATCCAGCACATGTTTATGTAACAAACCAGGGTTTAGACCATTCCTTAAATCATACAAAATTCCAATGGCGTATATAAATACAAGTTAGAGATTGTAAAATTTATTTTATTTGACCACCGCAACCACCAGTGGACCACCCCGTGATTTCAGAGTAGAGTATGTAACTCTTGTATGTCCCTTGGCTCAATGTTATGTACTTATGTTTATAGTAATCATTTCCACTATTCTATTGTAGTTTATGTCGAATGGTCTTTGTTTGCTCAATGGTAACTTTTCGTACAAGACGACTTACTCAGCAAGGAATCAATGTTGTTAAGTTCTGATGTTTTATCATTGTTGAAAATTTTCATTTGATGGTTGAACAACTAGAATTGTTAGGGTAAAAAGTCGGAGTTTTTGTAAGTGTTGAACTATTAAAGATTATCTAGAGTATAGTAGGTTGTATTTGAATTGATGAAAATGTACCATAGACATTTTTTAACATCTCTGTACACTTCAAAAGTGTGTTTTGTTTTACTATAATTATTTATACTGTTAATAGTTTTTTATTGAATTGTTAATTTGAATAGGCAGAATTACGCTTATATGACTGTTTTATATATTTTTGAAAGATGACAAAAATTAACTATTTAATTTATTATTACCGCTGTACATTTTTGGGGCTGTAAAAGTTTAAACTAGTGGTTCAAATAAATCAAAATAAGATTTAAAATAAAGGTTTGTATTCTGAAAAATATAAAAATAAGTGTGTATATATTGATGAATGTAAGTTATCTTAGTTTTTTCTACTCTGAATGTATACTTTGTTGTTTAGTTGGTTCTAAGTAAAAATAAGTGACATTTCTGATAGTGAGTATTTAAGTTTTAGTTATATTTTTTGGGCCATGTGTTATTTTGTACAGTTTTGGATATTTAGTTAATGCTAAAAGCATGTTTTGTTACCTATATTTCGCTCATCTAGTCTTTTGCTGTTTATTACCTACTTTATATTTTAGTCATGAAAGGTTCAAAATTTTGTGAAATATTTTTTGCATTATTCCTTTCAAATGGATGTTTTCTTAACCAAATCAGCTTTAAAACATACAAATTTGGCAGTAACTATAACCAAACTAGTGAAACCGGATGATTATGTAATTACTATAATTTTTGTATGCCTGAAAATTTTTCTTTAGAGACTAGGGATCTAAAAAATAATTTTAATTACATTTTTTTAATAGAATCGTTGAGTAACATTGGGAAATCCAACATTTTTACTGGCAATATTGAAAGATTAGTATTTGATTTATCCACTTAATCAAAATTCCTTGCTGACGAAAGCTTGAAATTGTGCCAAACGAATAATAAGTAATTGTTTTATGCAATAAGAGTTGCTTTTCCTATGTTCGACCTTTTTGTGCTTGTATAAAGTTGTTGTGGGTTGTATTCTAATGTCTTAATTTGACAAGTGTCAATAAAATATACATATATTATAAATTGTGTGATTTTTGTTTTCATACCAAGGTTCCTCCACATAGTATATTACAGCCCCAGTAGGTTTGCTGCAATGAACCAATATTTAGATTGATAAGGTTATACTCTTGACAAGAGATTGTAAGTGTATTGACATTTTTTTACAAATATTTTTTTCCTTATCACATCTTAATATTTATTGAAGTATAATTAAATTCCTTATGACACATTTTGAACTAAAAAATTATTAAAATACGTAGAGTTCAAGATACAAACATTATACCAGATATAAAACAGGTATTTTTTCTTCCAATAAATGTTATCGTATAAAAAATCTAAATATGAAATTTCACAGGTTAATAGCTCTATACCTAAGAATATCATAGGGATCATAATATTCCAAACCAGTGGTTGGCATAAAAACATTGGTAGCTGATTTCTAAGCATAGCTTGGATGAAAAAGTCAAATCACATGAATTCTTCGGATGAGTAAAAAATATCCTCTTGGAAAAATCTTTTAAGGTTAAACATTTTATCTTGAATGAGGTGAACTTTAAGCTCTCAAAGAGGTTGGGATTTGTTTGAAAAGCTAAATCTGCTTGTAATGATGGCTATGGGTTGATTTATTAAGCCTCAATTGAGGTCAATGTAGATCATGTAAAGAGATTTTCTTTACATGCAATAATCTTGTGTGTATACAGGGTGTCCTACGAGAGGTGTCTCAAACTGATTTCGGAAAAACGGCTTAACCTACAAGGATGAAATAAAATTATTTTCCACTAAATCGACCCCAAGGAATAACGTAAAAATATTTTTAACTTTTTTCCGATACAGGGTGTGCCAAAAACTGAGAGTCACTAGTTTGTATCTCGGAATTTTCAAATGTAAACATATGTCCATGTTATACACCATTTTTAAGGTATTTAATATACAAACATTTCGGCAAAAACAGAAATTACTTATCTTTTTCCGTTTCAAAATGGTGGCAGGTTTTTTTTGGAAAAAATCAATATTTTTTTTTAATACTCTGTAATTTCTATACCAAATGCACTTAGCCTTACTCCGGCTGAATTGCCTTACTAGTTATGAAATTAGCTTTACTGTGAGATGCTACAAGTAACGGTTTTTTGAAATAATAAAAATTCCAATAAAATTTATTTTTGAAAATTTGCAAATACTCATTGTTCAAAATTTTTAATAGCAAAATATGTCAAGTGGCACATCATTTTATAGGTTTTTTAATTTTTAACAACTTTATAATTTACACTTACTTTGTATCTCTTTTAGTTTTTGTGTAAACAACATTAAACCTATTTTTCATATCTCAAATGCATATTATTTGTTTTTAACCAGGTTTAACACTAAAGGCCCCATTTAATCTGCGGGATCATCCGTTATGTCCCCACAGGTTAGTTTGGGCTGCCTCAAGTTTGGGTGGCGAGGACTATGTCTAGGAAAACTTCATGCAGCAAGATACCTGTCATGATATTCTAAATTCTAAATTTTGAAAAAAGTAGTCTAGCCTACTCTTTATCCATAGAAGAGCAAAATAAGAGAAAGAATAACGTTGGAGTAACTTCAAAATGAAAAAGTTACGTTCTAACGTTCATGTAGGCTACAATCTGAAATTTATTTTAAAATGTTATCATAACAGGATATTTGATAAGAAATGGATTAAATTTTATTTAGTCTGTCGGGGTGTTCTAGGAAGGATTAGTAAACCCTTATCAATTGGTACTCAGTAGGAGTGCACCCAGTAGTGCTCACCTAGCAATCAAAAGGTTGCCATCGATCCTAAAAGTCAGTAACTTTTGATTCGAAGTCTCTATGGTGTCCTTGATCATTGGGATTTTGGTAAATTATCCAGGAATCCAAATCTTGACTATCGGGCCACTACCGGAAGTGATCTCTTAGCTGTGGTAGACATTCCTTCACAAGGACGTTTAACGGAGAACAATGACTTCTAACCGCTACTGGACATCGGACATGAGACGTCTTCACCGTTCATTCATCTCTTGTAGCCGAGGTTTCCTTGTCTGTCGTCAATACCATGTTGAGAGATTCGCTGTACAAATATCTCACATTTCTTCACAGTAATAGTAGATGGATCGATAATAGTTTGTGGGATGTATTTCATTACATTCTGATCCGTCGCAAAGACGCTATCAAGTATATTACCGATGATAAGTGTCTACGAGAATATCGTTACTTCCCAACTCGTACAACCTATCAGGAATTCACTTTAAACATGTTGACAAGGAATTGGATTGTAGTGTTCCCCGTTAATAAAAACACACAATTCGATAATTCCGCCGTCTTAGCAAATTGACGAACCGCTGTTATGATGAATTTAAAATGTCCCACAACGTATGCTCAATCATAAGAAAACAAAAATCTGCCATAAGTATAAGTATAGTAATATGGGAAACAATGTACAGAATATTTAGTGAGTCATTTCTGTTCACTCAAGGAGTAAAATAAAATAACGACCCCGTACTTATTATACGCCATGGCCATGACGACATACGATTATAGTTTGTGGATAGAAACAAACACAAAACCCCCATCACACAGATTTAAGCAACATTGGAATTGTTGCAAACAAAATGTTGCTATTCAAGTAATTCAGAATATCCGCATATTTAGTTATCTCTTACTGTCTGTACAAATCTGTCTGTATGGGAACAATGTTGCATGATAAGTCACTTTGCATGTCTTTGGAAAGCAGAATAGAGGTTATGAAAGACGTTCCCATAGTCTTCCTTGGGTCTGACTTAGGGGAGGTACGAATGAGGCATTAGTTCAAAATTCCTCCGTGAACAGCGCTGTAGTAGAGAGTTCTTTGGCAAAGAAGGTTTACTAATCGCAAAAATAGTTCTGTTCATAAAATAAAATTATAAATGCCTCAAATTCAATTTTATTATTTTTTAATTATAAAATTAAACTATCATAACCTAACCGAACTAACCAAACTTGCTGGTAATGAAATAATATAACAAAAGTTTATTAATAGAAAAAATAATTCTGTTTATTTAATAAAACTAGAAATTGCTCTACTAAAATTGTATAATGACTTAATAATAAAATTAAACTGTCATAACCGAACCAAACCAACCAAACTTGCTGATAATAAAAAAATCTTGTACAAAAAGTTATTGCCACGAGCGGGATTTGAACCCGGGACCTTCAGCATATCAGCCCGGCTCGCTAACCATTAGACCACCGAGGCCGATGACCACTGATCGTTTTGTTACGGTAATGGCGTTCCCTCCGCTAATAAGAAGCCCACAGCTGTCATCGTAGCCTCTTCTATACCTCCCCTGAGTAAATACCGTCTTCCTTGAGAGTGAATTACAATGTGTGCTGAAACTGTGTAACTGTCGAGACAATCCTAGCCTAGTTGTGAGAAAACGGCCGTAGACTACGAGGATATGTACACTATCGCTATTATGATACGTGGATGCTAGATGCTACTAAGGTATATTTTACATTTTACATTTGATACTGAAAGCCTCCCTATGGAAGCTATGATGTGCCGTGGTCGTCTGTTTGTTTTTGGCCTAATTATTAAAAAAGCCTTCCACAGTGGTAAGACTCTTCAGAAGGAAGTATTTTAGCCTAATTTGGTTTTCAGTAGGTCTATTTTAACTGAAACATGAATAGACTATGATTGATGTTTGGATCAGGTGATTTGTGTAGCTTATTGTTACATTTTACATTTTTTATTTTAATTGCTACCGACTAAAAAAATCAACCAGCTTATTAGTCCAGGCGCTAAACGGGTTGAGTATGCACTGAAAGTCTGACAAAATTTGACTTTTGATTACTGTTGGGGACATCTAGTAGATGAAAAAAATCGATGATGTCGCATTTCTAGGCAGGGTGGTCACAACTCGGGGGGGAGGGGGGGAAGTTGCGTGGGTCATCGGTTTACGTTTCCGCGTCTAACACACAAACGGTTAATGATAGAAAGGTGAATTAAGCGTCTATCTACGCCTAAATATATTTTCCTTCAAAAAGGTTATTATAACCTTTCTTCTATCTCTTATACTTTAGGCGCTAATCAACATTTATTGCAAAAAATAAAATTTAAAAATACTTTAAAATGAAATATCGGAAATATTGCGCTTGTTTAGGGCATGTTACAAACTATTTATGGTTAGAAAAACTAACAAGTAGTACAACAGCACCAAGTTTAAAGAAATCTGTGCAAAAACAACAGAGCTACGTTGATTTCAGTAAGAGTAGCTCTGTTGTTTTTGCACAGATTTCTTTAAACTTGGTGCTGTTGTACTACTTGTTAGTTTTTCTAACCATAAATAGTTTGTAACATGCCCTAAACAAGCGCAATATTTCCGATATTTCATTTTAAAGTATTTTTAAATTTTATTTTTTGCAATAAATGTTGATTAGCGCCTAGAGATAGAAGAAAGGTTATAATAACCTTTTTGAAGGAAAACATATTTAGGCGTAGATAGACGCTTAATTCACCTTTCTATCATTAACCGTTTGTGAGTTAGATGCGGAAACGTAAACCGATGACCCGCGCAACTTCCCCCCTCCCCCCCGAGTTGTGACCACCCTAGAAATGCGACATCATCGATTTTTTTCATCTACTAGATGTCCCCAACAGTAATCAAAAGTCAAATTTTGTCAGACTTTCAGTGCATACTCAACCCGTTTAGCGCCTGGACTATATTGGCTAATAGCTTGATCACAATCCCCCCATTCCCCTCGATCCAATCATCGATCTCTATTATTACTACAGCTTCGAGACGAAGTCGAGCTAAAAACGATCGAGAGCTGCAAAACCATTTCGGTCAGTGGTACGAACGCTATTTTTCACCACACTATACCCCATTACTGTACCACTATTCACCACAATAAGAATGTACACTAACAGTCAACACAACTACAACTTAAAGGTTATGTGAAGAAATGATTTGAGGAATCAACAAAAATAATAATAAATAGTTGTTAGGCAACGGTGATACTCATTGTGTATTTAATATGCAGTACCTGGG